ACAATAATGGCATAGAATTTTTTGTTTAGTAAACCAAAAACCGAATTTACTCTAACATTTGCATTTGGAAGTTGGACTGACGATAACTTCTCAGTAAGTAATAACACGGAGGCTGGAATTACTTCCGATGTATGACAACAGGTTCACACACATTCCATTTGACGTTCAGAGGCCTTAGTACGATTTTGTTCTACGTTTATAGTAAAACAAATATGCGTTCGACGCTCTGATTGGCCGGCTCTTATAATCGAACCAATCAGAAGCCTTAGTACGAGTTTGTTTTACGTTGAAAGTAATCGAAACGAGTACGCGTTCTGCGCTCTAATTGGCCGGCTTGGATGAACCAACCAATCAGAGCGCCGAACTCGTACTCGTTTCGAATACTTTAAACGTAAAACAAACTCGTACTAAGGCCTCAGAACATAACTGGTGAAAAACTGATATTAGGTACATTACGTACCTACATAGTCTACTCGTATGTGCATATGTCTACAGAATAAATCAGCTGTAATGATAAAGTTTACGTCTAAATAAAAAAAGAAAATAACACATAAGTACCTGGTACATTGTCACTTAACCAACAAATCAATAAGACGTTCAAATATCTTCTGCGCCCTCAAACTGTAACGACATTGGTTTAATGAAAATAATCGCAACTCCCAAGTCAAGCTACCCGTATCCTTTAAAACATCCAAGTAGAAATCGTCGAGCGCATATAAAGCAATAAAGTCGTTGCCTGGGGCCCCTGGGCCCTGGGGCGATGGATAAATATCGGATCATTTGCAAACAGAATAACGTGCGCGGGGCCCCGGCAACCACGGTAAATCTCTCATCGGGAAAGTGTGGCCACGTGTCTCCCACACGACGTACGACGCTCGTACGACGCCCGACGACGTCGATGCGATGCCCCACGGCCCGAATGTTGAATATTTCATCTATATTTTGTTATACCAAGGATTAGAACACTGTTTAAGTTGCCCCGACAGTCAATAAGCCGCTTTTTATGAGGTGTTCATTTTTTTTTATACACCGACTAAGTACGTACTGGCTTTATATTAGATATGTTTGCAATATTTTGACTAGAGACCACTAAAAAAGTAAATTATCTATGTTACTTTTCTGTCTGTTATTTATTACACACTGTATCTTATATCATTGTTACTTTTCCTGCCACATGTCCACAGAAAGAAATTCAAATTGGAATAAATATGTGGTACCTTTGTACTTCAATTTTATATATGTGCTGTCCTTTATGTTTTATGTGTGTACATAAACAATAAATAAATTCGTTTTCACATACCTAATACCTACTGGTTGTTGTTTTTTATTCCTCTTATAAAAATACCCATATAACTTTACAAAAATCAATGGAAGTAATATAACACCTTTCCTTATTACAAAAATCACATTTTACGTTGAAGTAAATAACACCTTCTTTATTTCAAAAAAGACACTTACATTTTATACTACATATTATATAAAGCGAAAGAGTTTGTTTGTTTGAACGCGCTAATCTCCGGAACTACAAGTCTGATTTGAATATTTCTTGTTGTGTTGGATAGTGCATTTATCGAGGATGGCTATAGGCTATAAAACATCACGCTACAACCAATAGGAGCTGAGCAGAGCGTGTGAAACCGCAGCGGAAGTAGCTAGTGAAATATAATGTTGAAGCCACGACATAATTATTAATATTCAGTTAAGTAGTACATAAGTGTGTAGTATAGAATGAGTATTTTATATTCGGAGAATCTGTAATGTAGTGTGCAGTTTCCACAGATATAATAAAGAATTTCTGTCGCAGTTTCAGAATTGGTAAAGTGAAGTAGGCGTTTTAAGTGTATAGGAGAATCGCTAAATTTTCACAATGCAATTTTTTCAATATTTAGTACGAACTTAGAGAAACAACTTTTTATTTTATTTTAACGAACCCGCGACATTTTGCGCAGCATTCAGGCGCCCAGCTAATGCGCCAACGCCGACCGTCGTCGTCGTATATAAACTTACCTATGCATAAAAATATGGGAGGGATGAAACTGATTCACCCCTCCTATATTATAAGGAACCTGTGAGCTAAAATAGGTAACATTTAATAACATTTTCATTTTCACAAACCTAATAGTGCAAGTAAGGGGTTAGTTTGGGTGCTACGTCATTCGAAGCAACGTTTAGTTAAGAAATGGATTGGAGTTAAATTTATTTATTTATTTATTTATTTATTTATGTACACACATTCAAAACAGAGGACAACACATATATAAAAACAGAGTACATAGGCCCCACATATTCCAACTGGAATCTCTTCCTGTGGGCCTGTGGCAGGAAAAGATATAATAACACTGAGACACATAGTGTGTTACACAAACAATAAAAAAAAAAAATAATAATAATAACGAAGAAACCGATAGAAATAAAAATAATAAACAACAAAACAACCTAATACAATGCTATTATACAAAAAGAATTAAAAAAAAATAACCTTTATATAAATATACCTACATATATATATATATATATATATATATAAACAAATATAAACAAAAAGATCTATATTTCAGGAGGAAAGATAATGTTCTCTCACTTGTCTCTTAAAGATAGAGATTGACTTGGCATCCCGAATGTTCGGCGGGAGTGAGTTCCATAGTCTCACTGCATGAACGGAGAAGGAGTAGGAGTAGAAGTTGGTATTATGGGGCACAATTTTAAGATAGGATTTAAGATGAGAACGAGTAAGGACTTCAGGAGGACGCACCAAGGAGAAACGGTCTCGGAGATAAGTAGGATAGGCTGGGTTGAACAGGATGTTATAGAGGAGACATAATATGCGAGTGTTCCTGCGAAGACGGATTGGGAGCCACTTGAGCCTGTTACGAAATTCAGAGATATGATCGAACTTCCTAAGACCAAAGACGAAACGGATACATACATTTTGTAAACGCTCAAGTTTATTTAATAGCTCCTCTGTGGCATCCAAATAGCAAGCATCTGCATAGTCAATGAGAGGCAAGATCAGCGCCTGGACGAGGTGAATCTTAGTCGTCATCGGAAGCAGGGTCTGGAGGCGCCTCAGCGAGTGGATGGAGAAATGAACTTTCCGACTAACCTCGTTCACCTGAAAGGCCCACGACAGGTTCGAGTCGATATGCACCCCCAAGTTTTTTGCAGTATCAGTGAATGGAATGTGTGTGCCATTCAAACGTAACGGACCAAGGCCAGACACGTCGAGAGCGTTTCGATAATATCTGCTACCGATGATCATGGCCTGAGACTTGAGAGGGTTGATTTGCAGGCCAAAAGACCTAGCCCACTCGGCAACGCCATCCAAGTCACGATTCATGGCATCGATAGCAGAATGGGCCTCGGACAAGCCAAAGTGGCGATATAGCTGCAAATCGTCCGCATATAAATGGAAATTGGATGAAATGACCTTGGCAACGGTATTAATAAAGATGGAGAAAAGAACAGGAGAAAGGACGCCACCCTGGGGTACCCCAGCAGCAAGGTCACACCAATCAGAAAAAGTTTCTTCAAGGCGGACCCTCTGACGGCGACCCCGAAGATAAGACTCAAACCAGGCCAGAGAGGAAGAAGAGAAATTGTTGGCCTTCAGGACCCCTAGCAGGATGTCAAAGTCCACGGAGTTAAAGGCAGAACTGAAGTCCAACAACACAAGAACAGTGAGAGATTGGTTGTCCATAGCCCAGCGAATGTCATCGGTCACTTTGAGTAAAGCTGTGACCGTGCTGTGACCAGGGCGAAATCCCGATTGAAAGGGAGAAATGAGGCAGTTTGACGTCAGGAAGGAAGTCAACTGCTTATGAACAATATGTTCCATGACCTTGGAGAGAAAAGGCAGTATGGAAATAGGTCTGTAATGTGAAAGGGTAGAAGGGTTATTTGTTTTTGGTAACGGAATAACGTGGGCAGTTTTCCAAGCAGAAGGAAAAGAGCAAGAGAATAAAGAAAAGTTGAAAATGTGAGTGAGAATAGGGAGAAGGAGGTCAAGGATGGGGATAAACATACGGGAGCATAAATCGTCACTACCCACTGCAGAGGAGTTAATGGCAAGCATGGATTTTTTTACTTCGCCCTCGGACACACTACAGAGCACAAAAGGAGAACAAGAGGGAAGCGGTAGAGAGGAAAGGTTGAGAAGAGTTTTAGTTTTTGTAAGGTTGTCAAGTGAAATAGGGGAGTGGGAGAAATGATGATTCAAGGAAATAAGATCAACATCCTTACTGACATTGACAGGAGATTTGCCGATGCCCACAGATCGCAAGAACTTCCAGGCATCAGCAGCGTTGTGGTTAGCCAGGTTGTCATCGAAGTAACGCCTCCTAGCATCCCTACACAGACGACTGCAGCGATTACGAAGATTTTTATAAGAGGAAAGATTTTCATCTGAAGACCTACGTTTCCACCTCCGCTTGGCCCTGTCTCTACGAGCCATAGCCTCTGTAATGTCAGAAGTGATCCAAGGTGCCGGATCGTGCCTAACCCTCATGCGTCGCAAAGGTGCATGTCTATCAAACAAGTCGACAATTAACGCGTTAAACAGGTTAACTTTCACATCGACATCATCAGCATCAACCACAGAACTCCAGTCAGTCAGGTTGACATCGTGCCGTAACGCCCCCAGATCCAGCCGTCCGTAACTACGTAGATTCAAGTAACGAGGTTTAGGTTTAGGAGTACGAATGCGATAAGATACATAAATAAGGTCATGGTAGGAGAAAGGAGCAGTCAGTTGACCGTGGTCATCTACATGTCCAGGTATGTAAATGGTAAAATATGAGCTAAATCTATTTAAAACATAAGCAAGGACGTTAGGAAATTTGAACATATGTCCTTGATTAAAACTATTGAATGTAGGTAATCATTAAAGGTTTTATTTCATGTTGCTAACCTTCGCCACGGTCATCCCTGCCAAAACTGCGCGAGGCCGGATAGAATTAAACAGTAGAATAAAAAAAACAAAACAAAAAATATTCACAATAATAACAAAAATGTCAAAGCGGTGACATAAGAAACTGGACCACCATTTTTTCAGTAAAATGTTCTAATCGTGCAGCTAAGACCAAAATACATTTATAAAACACTAACAAAAATTCAAAAAAATGATATTAACGAAGTAAATATTATATATTTTTACACCGTTTACTGAAGACACTTCATTTCCTGCAGAAAAATGGCTTCCGTGTAAGTTCTCTTCTTACCTATCTTTACGCAATACAGTAAAAAATGAAGTCCAAAGTTTTCCATAGGTGTTAGTGTCGTGGTGATTCAGTGGTTAAGGTAAGGTGCCAACTTCTTTAAGCATAAAGCCTTTATAGCAGCAATAATTATGTACTCTACCCAAGAACGGATAGGTTTAGAAATCTGTGCCACAATCCATTTTCTTTTGTGAAGTTGTTTGAAGAAGAAATTAGATAACTATCTACCTGATTCAATCACTTTTTTGATCTACATTTGCGAAAAAGTCATGGTGAAGTTTCGATACACCTATAAGCCGTATAAAACTATTTCCCATCGCACCCTAGGCAAACAAAACACATGGTAATAATGTATTCAGCCGTGGGCAGTGACACTTTTTACAATTACTAGAGACAAATGGCACAGTTTGCTGAACGTTTTTTCAATCAGTGTCCCAGCGGCGCGCGGGGCTGGGAAACTGTGGAACCGTTGTCCCGGGGACAGTTGGGGGTCGGGGACAGTGGACATACTGGCAACATGTCACTAATTACGCTATAGATGGACAGTATGGTTCACATTTTAAATTAAATGTTAGATAAAATGTTTATAATGTTGAAGCTCCCTCTTCAACATTTGATTTCAAATATTTTACGTGGTTTAATTACCTAATTAATATGTAAAAAATAAATAAACAATAACTATTGTTGAAGCCACAAAATGTTTTATAAAGAAGTATAGTATATATATCGGTATAATATTTAACTCTGCGTAGGTGTCTATTGCATTAGTTTTTTTGCGAACAAATCGCTACTATCCGCGGTTCGTAGCGATTTGTCCTCGGCAAACCGTACCTAATTTAAATTCTCGTTAAAGTATCTTTTCATTTTACCCATTCGTTCGATCAGAGAAATTGATTGCGTAGCTACGTGATGGTAGACCGTGATCGTGATAAACCAAACTGTAATTACCTTCGGCTTACTCTCGTAACTGTTTGACGAGGAACTCGACTAGTTTCAAGCCAAGCTAGAGGCTCATATTCATGAGCAGCAATCCACGACACGCGACGCAGTGACTGTCGTGCTGCTGACATAATAAATAATTTAGTATGCCTCACGTAGTTTTAATATAAACAAAGTATTTCAATATTTATCACAATAGTTAGCAACACTGTGGTTTGTAACTACGCTATACCTTATTAATTCCCTTCTTCTCTGCTTATTCTTCGCTTGTTCTTTTTAATTCGCTTATTCCCTTCTTCTTTCTTCCCTTTTCCATTTCGGAACTGTACTAAAATTATAAAAATATGACAAAACTGTGTACAATTTGTGTTGAGGATAATGATCAGTTTCTACAAATCGACTATACAGGAAAGTCACCAAAATCTTATTCCTATTTTAATATTATAGGTAATGTGTTTGTTACCCTATGGTTACAGGTGTTGCGCATGTAAAGATACCGGCAGGGGTAACGCCGCCCCAGGTCGCGTGGGCAGGAACAGTTTACCTCTCATCTGCCTGGTGCCACACACGGAAAATCTCACTGGGAGCTCCGCCCGTACTGCCCCAAGAGGTCCAGCACCGAACGTCGCGACAGACCAAAATGATTTCCAACTTCTTGATGAAAATTACATTAAGAAACATTTCAAACTACCTCCAAGGGCTCTGTACCTTGACCCGTTTAGGTATTTGGATTTATTTTACTAGTAGGTTCTGAGCAGTTATGCTGCAGTTTATCCTCGAAGATGTATGCAGAGGTGCTTATTACGGCACCTAATGCCACTGTACAATGTAATACCCATTTTCACTGTTTATGTTATGAGTCCCATGTAATAGAGCGTGAGCCTATTGCCTACAGATATACTTCTTATTATGCAACTTGAATGGGCCGGCTCAAGCAAAGAAGTACCACCCACTCACAGAATATCGTCCTAAAGACATGAAGTATATTATAGAACTTCGGCTACGGCTACCGCTTACATCCGCCAGACTGCGTCTATCTCCATCTGTTGAGCGCATTGCGTACTAAAATTTTGTTTAAATGGAATTATAGAGGACGCAACGAGTGCAACCGAGGGTTGGCGCCCCTGGTCCCTAGTGCGAGCCGCAAACAAGATCTTATAGGTGGCGCAGTTCTTAAAAGCACCTCCGTGCCTTGTGTACTTTGTTGAATTTATAATAAAAAATACGCATAAATCGCAAAACGCTAATATCTACTACTATTTGTATATGTACTATTTGTTAGTTATCTTAAACTAAACCACAAATTAATTAGTATTATTTGAATGAATTAATTTCTTATTTATTTACAGGCGGCCCCTAATCACGTTCCCTTTAAGTCAAGAGGGTTCGAAGAACTTCAATTTGGCGAGCAAGCAAAAAATTAATCAACAAATTTTGGACGGTTATTTGGATCCCAGTGAAGCCATTTCTGCACCAAGTGTCTTTGTAAGTACCTAATATACAGGCATTGGCAAATTAGCAGACGCATCACCTGATTGATGATAAGCAATGGTGCTGCCCATCGACACGTACCACACCAGATTAGTGACCTACCTGGGTGGACCTACATGCCACCTGTCCAAGACCATAGAGCGACAATAGACACGGTATGACGGAAACTTCTGCAAGGTCAGCGTTTGGCCTTGATCTGCGTAAGCCTGAGATTATAGGTCTGAGATCCTACGTGTGCTCGCACGGTTACTTCCAGTGGATTTTGAGGTGCTACGTGCTGCTATGTACTACAATAGTGACCTAACTTTTCCGCAAGCTTTCTAGCATAACGTGATCCCAGCCAAATACCTACCTAGTTTATAGTTGACTAACTGCTAATAAAATTTTTTCACCCACAGCCATATGATACAAGTCATAAATCTGAAAAAGCTAAAGCTGAGGAAGAAGACGAAGAAATTATTTATATCCTGCAACTACCTGATTTCGAATATAAATGTCCAATTCATAACGAAACAGTGAAAACTCCACGGTAAGACAAACATCGTCTACTGTTGAAACTGCTAATATTTTTTTATGGCATAAGCCGATAAACGAGCCGACGGATCACCTGATGGTAAGCAATCGGTGCCTCTCATAGACACCTGAAACACATAATTAATTAAGCAATTTTGAAGTTGATACAATCATCGTTGACGAAGATGTTGAACAAATAAAAATATAGAAAAGCGCCATCTCGGTTTTTAGTCTGAAACCATCAACGCTATTAAATGTCACTTTATATTTTCTTATTCTCCGTGATCTGATGAAATGCGAGACCGAGTCTTTTGGATCTTACTAAACTAAAACCAGATTTAAGACACAATAGAAATTTATTTAAATAGTTTATTTTTCCTATAATTAATTTTAATCATAAGTTGTATATATTTAATTTAGTAATATTTAGTTTTAATTTTATTTATGTAATAGTTGTTATTTAAGTTTTTTATTCACAAAATAAACAGACACAATATATCTAGAAATTAAATAAAAGTAATGCTTTTTGTGTATTTCACAGATTTATATGGCACTCGTGCAAGAAACAGAAAAAATCTAAATTAACTGAACGTGTTCCCGGAGGCGGACCGTTAAATAAACCGAAACCTTGGATACTAAGTAGAATCACAGATTTCGATTTATTGTCTCAGTGGTAACTTTCTTGAGTTGAATACGTCGAGCCTATGCTTCTTAACCATAATTTAAACTTGTCAAATAAATAAATCACTGCAACTGTTGTATCTTTTATTTTTGTACACAGTTCCTGTATCTATTCAACGCCAAAATTATTTTGCATGATGGGACAAACTCTAAACAATCTATTGAAGCATCATACGCACCTAAATTATTTCAGCTCGCTTTTGAACTCCCAGGAAACGGGCATTTTACAATGTGTTTCTTTTTTAACACACATTTTTTTTTTGTTATGCTGAAGTCAAATGACAACTTTGTTCAACTAACAATTTCAAAGACAAAAATGTCACATTTTCTGATTGTGAAATCGAGTCTTTTGGATCACACTAAAACCATGGAGCTAAAAACAATCACAAAATTTAGAAACACTTTAAATAAAAGTACCTAATATTTACAGATTTATAATATACCACTAGGTACCTAGGTAAAAACAGAAAAAAAAAATTAAATAAACTTAGGTACTCCTGGAGGTGGACCGTTAAATAAACAAATACATTGGGTAGGTATTAAGTTGGATTTGGATCACACATATCCTGTTAAATAGGTCCTCTAAACTCAGTGACTTTCTTTAATGAGAGTTGAATATCCAAAGCCTGTACTTCGATGAATTTGTGAATGATTTAGGAGTAGAGCGCGAAATTTAAATTTCCATAAGTATTTTACAATATAGCTCAATATTAGATGGTAAAAGGATAAAATATATATTCACAGTAGCAAAATGTATCTGTTTACATAGTTATACTTGTCAAAACGACTATATACTGCAAGAAACTTACGAAAAAATAATGCGGACTACCCGGTTATTAAAGTCACATTCACCAAGGTAGAGGTATTTCGAAGTGTCGTAGCGTGGTGCGTACTGAGAGCGTATTACTAGTTTATTTTACTTTTAATTGGCTGGTTTGGAGACGGCAATATGAACGAGCGTTCTCCCCTTTTTAAGAGGCCGGCAATATTTTGTGGTTCGTCTGTTATGATGGGGATGGTGCTGATCGCTTACCATCAGTTGATGACGAAAGAGTATCGGATAGATAACGGCAAAATCCACTACCGAGTTGCTCCTCTGCCTACAGCCTTGGCCCGGGTCGCCTGTGTGGATACACTGCATTCACGGCGCCCGGTACACTTCGATCCACCGCTATATTAATTGCTGTGTTGATCATTCTGATTAATATAAGAATAAGCAATATAATATTAACATATTAGGTAAAGTTCTGTAATATTTTTCATTAATTTATTCCCTTTATTTATTTTCATACTTGATTTAAATGTTTTTAAATATTTCATTATATGTAAAAAAAAACATTTGAAAATATAAAAAGCAGTAGCCCACCGGTAACGGGAGAAATCCAAGCTACCGGTGGTCAGGGCTCCAGAGAAAGGAATTTCCGAACAATACGCGCCGTGTCCAGAAGTACTGCTTTCTGCATCAGGCCCTTGGCCCAACCATCTAACGCTAGCCTACTCAGATGTTGGTCGAGGCTTTTAGCAATGAGGCCATTGGCAGATACGACTATCGGCACAATGACTGCTGAATCCACATCCCACATGTCGACAATCTCATGAGCTAAATCAAGATATTTACTTGCTTTATCTTTTTCAGCTTTCACAAGATTCTCGTCATTAATTTTATTATTAGTCAAAGAAGGATTCATTTACTAAGTAATATTGAAACAATCCTGTCCAATATTAAAGATGACAATTAATGCAATCAATTTGAAATGCAATCAATAAAAATTATTACATTTTAAACAGTAGTCAGTAAAAATAAGAAAAATTTTAGTGAAAAATCTAAAATAATCAAAATATCTAGGTGCATTCAAATCAATTGTATAATAAAACGTTATTAAATAATCACGATGGCTGATAAACAATTGTTGTCTAAACTAGCAGATATGTAAGTATTTCGCCATGACTTTGTTCACAAGTACCTATCCTATTTTCCTTTACACATTCCTTAGATGCTGTGTATAATGGGACGAATTAAATTCGTTAATATAGAAAAGACAACCTATAAGAGACATTTTCCATTTTTAGACCACTAGCAAAACCGGGATTCGACGCTCTGAACATGTCAGCACCTTTCATCGTCCAGATGAACAGTGAGGGAAAATGGGAAAATAAGAAACCCGAAAATATGGATGAAGATCGACTTAAAGCTATTGTTCAACACTTAGTTAATTCCAAGGCGATATCTGCAGCACAAAGTTACTGCTGTCAATGTGCTGCTGAAAATAAGGTAGGTAATTAAAATATTCGATTTGTATATATAGCAAGACCAATTACAGAAAGCTTAAATTTAACTCGTCGAGTACCGTCATTATAGACACAATTATAGAACAATAGGTTGCGGTCACCGGTGACCGCTTGGTGTTTGACAGTTATTGTAACCTCTAAATGATAAATCAGCTACTTATATCCCAAAATATGCTTGTGAACCCCGTTCTTGTCATTAATTCGTTCTATAATTTGATTCTAGATGCCAAAAATGCAACCCCAATATGTGCCAGTGGTTGTGATGCCAATTTATACGAGTGACCAATGTCCTTTTGATATGGAAGGCGAAATACAGAAAATATCAGATGCAGAAAAGCAAAAAACAAAACCTACAAAAAAAGCAAAAGCCGCAGAAGTAAAAGAAGATAAAGAAAAAGAACGCTCTGCGAAACCAAAGAAGCGAGGCTTTGTCATGCAGAGGCTTACAGACTTTGATTTATTGTCGCAATGGTGAAAAAAGTATTAAGAAAAATGTAAAAGTTTTGTAAACTATTGTTTTAAATGGTATGTAATAAATTAAACTCGATAAATGTATTGAAACAAATTCTCGCATTATACTTGATGAAAAAACAATATCTAAGGCATAATATGAGTAAAACAGCTACAAACCGAAATAGCCACATAACTCCACAAAACAAACAAGTTCATAAACCATAATAGACCATCATAACAGACCGCAAATACGCAATTAGTTTTGGCGAAAACCATAACCGAACGGGTCAGCAGCCAACAGCATATTATTTTTCAATTCCAGACCCTCTGCTACTACTGAGATTTTTTTAAAAACCCAGTATACTTTGCCTGACTCGGGAATTGAGCCCGAGACCCCTTGCTCGGTAGTCGCACTTGCAACCACCCGGCCAACGTTGAAGTTCATGAAGTAAGTTGAAGTATACCGTATATTATGGTATACCGCATATGAAAGTTTAAGAAATATAGGTCTGATGTCACATAACATCACGCTTTTTATCCACGAAGGGATAGGCAGAGGTGCACATTATGCCACTATACAATGTGTTACATTGTATAGTGGCATAATGTGTTTTAAACCCACTTTTCACTATTTATGTTATGAGTCCCATGTAATAGGGGGTGAGCCATATACAGTATAAATCACTGTATATACAGATAGTTTTTTGTTTGATCGCGCTAATTTCCGAAACTACTGGTCCGATTTGAATAATTTTTTGTATTTGATAGTGCATTTATTGAGGAAGGGTATAAGGTCATAAAACATCACGTTATGTTCAATAGGTACCAAACAGAGCCGGTGAAACCACAACAAGGGACCTTAAACTTATATACTATTATCAATAATTATCAATATTATGCTCAAGAGTTTGTTTTATCATAGCGTTATGTTTTATAGCCTATAGCCATCATCGACAAGTGAAGTGTACAAAACAAAATGAATTTTTCAAATTGGGTCCTAATAATGAGATTAGCTCGTTAAACAGACTGTAGAATGATCTGTAGTCGGCGGTATTTCCTGAACCGATACGACCTTGAAACATTCAAGAAAAGAGCGTACCTATTCTTTTTTAAAAAGCCGGCAACGCCTGTGACTCCTCTGGTGTTGCGGGTGTCCAAGGGCGGTGCTGAGCTTAAATTTTATTTTCCGAAATTATCTATACATGTTAGAACACTAACTCATGGTCTGGGTCGTTCAAATAAATGAAGACGTTCTAACAAAATAAATATTTATTCAGTATTGATTTATTTTTGTTATCTTTCCTATTATTTTTATTTCTTATATTACCTATTTTTTCAGATTTTATTACATTTCTTTTTCTCCACGGACTCTTGTCCGTGCCCTTGTCCTTCCATTACATTTTCTTTTATTTTATAGTCAAAATTAATTGTTAATATATCTTACGTGCTGCTTAAACACATTTTTTTTCACAAAGAAGGTTGTGTCTACTATCTATATATACACAATACATGTTTTATTACATTTACATTAACCCTGCTGGATCGGCCCACCCGCGCGATGAGCGAGCCGACCTGCTCCAGCAGAAGGCGCCCGTTCACGAGCATGACGTGAGGGCCAGCAATCGGTCCGATCAACCATTTCGTAGGGAACGGAGCGACCCAGCCCACAGCGCCAACGACTGTAGAATATTTAAGAATACATGACGTCTCTGCTCACGAGGCAGTAAACCGATTCCAGTAGTGCCAATGGATTTTGTCAGTCTTATTGATTAAATTAATTACATTACGTTACATACTTAACTACATTATAACATTATTAAAACCCTCCCCACCCAAAAGAGCGCCCACTACCGCCATGTCCCTATTCCTGGTAGCCATTTTCAAATTATAGTCCAGGATCCCCTGCTCACTCTCACCCACCGCCTGTCCGATTAATTTCCTGATCGCATCGTCACTGGTATTCGTGTAGTAAACACAGCTGTTAGTGTGATATAGCTACCACGGCGTGCGGTACACTGTCGTGTCGTTATTTTTATGTTGTAAATATAGGTCTGTAACTACGAAATTGCCATTCTGCAGTACTGGTCATTTCAAATCAATCTGTTTGTTTGGCTAAGTTAATTCTAATTGCAAATTAATTTTATTTAAAAATCGTGGATTTTTTTCGAAAGTAGTCATTTCTTTATTGATTAGTGTTAGATTTTCATTGCATTTCAATCTATTTCGTCATCATGAATAGGTACGTTAAAAGTTCGAGTAATTACGAAATATGATTATGTATCTACCATTGTGGCAGCAACGCGGCACAAGCGGCGCGCAAAATCAACGTGCGACGTTTAAGCAGCTAACTACAAACCAACGACCACCTGTTATTGGTTAACTCGCTTCCGGGAAATTTCGACTTGAAAAATTAACCTCGCGGTCGTCCGAAGACTTTGGTCGACAATGATAAATTAAAGGCGAGTGTGGAAGCTGATGGTACACAATATACGGCAGAATTAGCAGCAGCTTTCGACGTTAGCATCAAAACAGTATTGGTCCATTTGAGTCAAAAGGCTTGACAAATGGATGCCCCAGGAACTCAATGATCGCCAGCGCGAAGAACGCGTCGAGACGTGCCTTGCACTGCTCAACAGACAACCAAATGAAGAAATTTTGAACCGCATTGTTACCTGCGATTAAAAACGGATTCTATTTGATTACCGCAAGCGCTAAGCAAATTCCTTGGATCCTGGTTCAGCATCTAAAGAACGCCCTAAACGAAAACTTACCCTTAGAAAAGTGATTGCCACTGGTTGGTGGTCTAGCGCCGGTGTGATTCATCATAGCTTCTTATCAAACGGGGTGAGAATTACTGCAGAATTGAACACAATGATGGAGAAGCTGGCATATCTCCAATCAGCATTGGTCAATCGCTCGTCTCCGCTGCTCCTGAAGTCCTGCACAACAAAGCGCGAGCTCATACTGCACAGCAGACGGTCTCTAAGTTGCAAGAACTGAGGTTGGAAGCTCTCCGTCATCCACTCTACTCACCAGACCTTGCGCCTATAGACTATTACTTTTTCTAGTATTTGGGTAACTTGTTGGCTGGAAAAAAATTCAATACCCAAGAGGCAATGCAAAATGCTTTTAAAAAATTTTTTGCATCATGTCCAGCTGATTTCTTTAAGAAGGGCATCAATAAATTGCCACTGCGTTGGCAATGACACATTGATTGTATAAGTGATTACTTCAATTAATACAAATTCGTTTGAATTTTTTGATACAAAATGGCAATTTCATAGGTTTGTAATACCTATTATTTAATCTTAGTAAGTCATAAATATTACTGGTATTAAATAGTAGTACAGAAATTATTGTTACATGCATATATCGAGACGCGCGGCCGCGCGTCCTTATTATACTCTTTGCGCGCGTCAACCAAGTTCAGCAAACAGCGCGCGCCATACCTATATACCATACCTGCCTGTCTTCCATGTCTATGATTCTTATATCCTTACCTTTTTCGCTTATTGTTAATACTGACAAAACCATGTCAAAGTTAAATTATAGATTTCAATTGGATCAATATACCTAAGGGTCTTTTGAATTAAGGGTAAAAAGAGGTGAATAGGATTCGAGAGGTGAATAAATACAGGAATGGGGTGAATTAATATTAGAACATTTTCTAAATAATAACCCCTCTTCTGTATTTGATCACCTCTCGAATTGTATTCACCCTGTTTTATGGTACTTCAAGTTACTTCTTAATAACACTTTTCACATTGTAAAAGATCTGTATATTCTGACGAAAAAAAATATTGCAAGATACATTAATTATATGGACGTCCAGGTTGTTTATTCCTATGTATTAAATATTTATTGCCATGGTTTTTGACGACTTGATTTGATAATATGCCTCAGATTATGCTGAAACAAAAAATAAACAACAAAAAAATTACAGACATATTTTTTTTAGATTAAACTGTCTAACACCAAGAGATCACCGGTGACCTCAACCTATTGTTCTATAATTGTGTCTATAATGACGGTACATACTTGACGAGTTAAGTAAAATTAGGTGGTATTGAATTTTACTCAAAAGTATCTACTTAATCCTGTGTCACACTGTAAGAACCAAATACCATCCAAAAGTAACTCATGAAATTGGAGTGTATGTTTGTAATTTTGAAGTAATTCAAATAAATGCAAACTACATAATATTATGATACCTATACCATAGAAACAATTTTTTTACGGTTTTGTCTGTCTGTCTGTTTGTACTAGCTAATCTCTGAAATGGCTGGAGCTGGACCGATATTGACGGGACTTTTACTGACAGGTAGCTGATCAACTAAGGAGTAACATAGGCAATTTTTATATTAGAAAATTGAAACAAACAAAAATTATGTCCAAAATATCATATTCTACGCAGACGAAGTCGCGGGCAACAGCTAGTTTTACAAAAAAAACGTCTACTTTGTACGTTTTTGAGTTCTGACTCTGACAGATATAATTTATACAGTAAATAAATACAATTCCTACCTGCTTGTTATACTGAAAATCGATTTATACTCGAAATACAATCAAGTCAAGCTACACTCCGAATAAAATTGTTCTTTTGTTTAGTTTCCTACTTATTATACCTCTTTGATTATACCTCTCAGATATAATATAATCTCAGATATAATAGTCTACACTACAATGTAACAAAAAAAACTATTTGCAAAACAAACAGCTGATGACATTCAACATACTTTTTTAATAATTTTGTTCATGACCATAGATACAAGTCTTTCAGTCGAATACCGAGACAATTTGTAATACATCATTCAACATACTTTCATTGAATGTTGCGATAGTTTTGATGTTGTTAGTTCTGCAAACATTCGTTTTCGTGATTAAAATAGACAGATTATACACCTATAATGGTTATAAACTTGGACGTATAATACTAACTTCCATGTTTTTAATAGTATCAGTAGTATGTTTATACTTTATATTATAATACGTCCATGGCCGAAAGTATGTGGATCTGGAAGAAACATTGATGTTTATAATAATGGATAGGTAATGATTGTCTATGGGCAAAATTTGTGCGTTTGCGTATTTGATGTATGTTTGTCACTCAGTCACATCAAAACGTCTGATGGGACCGGGGTGAAATTTGGAACAGAGGTAGATTATGTATATAGTAATATATAAGCTAGCCCTCTGGAACGCGGGCGAAGCCGCTATCGGTAGGTAGCCAGTATATAAATAAAATCATTATGTTCAATTAGTGATCAACCTAAGTCCTGGAACTAGCTCGGAAGGGAGGGAGGGGCATGACCCCCATGAACGCTAAATCCGCCCTTGTACTGAACAACTTCGACTAAGACCTAACACGATTTCTTCATAAAAGGTTTTTAGTGAATTAAATACATATTGTATTAATATTTTGAAAGAATTTTATTGTTCTACAATAGAAAGTTACCTATCTAATCTAACGTTAAATAAATGATGACCATTTGGTATTTTGGTGTAAATACAAACAAAGTGTAGCTTAGCAAAACAGACTATGACGCGGGGACAGCTGGAACTAATATTGACTTCTTCGACTGAATCACCCACTTAGAACCATATTCGATTCGATTGAATAAAGAATCATCCGAATAGTTCATACAACACACAACTCCTCTTTTTAAACTCGATTAAATTAGGTAGGTACGCATATCAAAACCGGTTGAGTCAATACGAGGTTGCCAGAGGTACGATATTAGCGACCTCAATAATTATTCCAAAGTTTTTTATTAAGCTGCATGTAGGTAGCGTAAAAGTTATGTTGTGAACGTTGTTTGTTACTGATTTACTCAACCATGAGTAGTAGATATCGCTGATATTTGAAGTCACGAGCTGTAGTTAGTCAAAAAGCGAAGACAAATAGCAAAATAATGAACATTTATAGACAAGAATAAAATTCACAACAAAAATAATTATGTTTTTATAATAACTATCGTGAGACATACTAAATTAAGTAAAAACGCGGGTTACTCACGTGAATATACTGAGAAAAGCTCTACTAGTTTCGAACCACAGAGGGGTTCTTCCTCATGAGCAGCGTGCGCGGTCGCGGCGACGTCGCGCAGCTCACTGAGTAACCCGCGTTTTTACTTAAAAATAATTATAGCAATACAAATATCTAAAAAAATATTGTTTCACACGTAATACCCCTAGTTCAAGCCGCCATTACAAAATACTGTTAAGTAAATTGACGTTTTATTCGAAGGTATTGCAGGTCTTTAATATTTTCTTGAGTGTGGGATATAATCATAGATCACTATAGATAATTTAAATAAGATCAAAAAATTAACTTAGTGCTATGAGGAAACGATATTTTGGCTGATGATGATAGAGCCGAGGACTTTAATCAAATCCATTATCCACGCCATGAGACGGACGGACCCATCAAGCAGCCTATGATTATTGATGTAAATACTGAGGGGAACGAGAAGCCTGGTACCTGACATCAAACCTAATATTTACGAACGAATACGATTTTCATTATAGAAAATTTAATGCAGTACACCATAATGTTACTCAACAACAAAATTTGTCTGTGGTCTCTAGTTAGTCTATGGTCGATGGCCGACCACGGTGTTTGAAGTTAATGTTATAGATTAGTGCACATTGCACTATATTATTTTTAATTCAGTGACTTTTTCAAACTATGCTTCTATAACAAACATAATGCAAAAGTAATCAAACAATTATAACTGCAGGCAGCCAAACAGGTAAGCAACGAAATTTAAACTTTATTGCAGCAGATGTGAGGCACGTAATAGGTTCCCCATGCCACTTTTTATGTATTCACGCCTTTCAAAATCCCACCCAGGTAACACTAGGTATTGAACTCGCGATGCGTTTCTGCGCATCCCTCTATAACTCATAACTATAGGTCAATATTGATTTGTGCGCGTCAGTCCGAAGTTGTAATTATGCAAAGCCAGTCAGTTTCGCCATAAATAGTTAGTGAGAAATTTTACCCATATATTTTTTTTTTGTTGAGACGGATGCAAGTTAATCCTGCGTTTTGGTGATAAAAAAAGATTCTCACGGTAGTAGACGTGATCGCGTGGAGTTTTTTTTATTATGGAATAATGTCGCATGTGATATACTTCCTGTAGAGATGCAAGTACTAGCTCTGCCCAGGGGCCCGCGTTCGTAGTTTCGATCGTATTTCGCGTCGGTGCATGGAGTCGTGTCTTTAAATTGCGGTTATTAATATTGTGTTCTCTTTTGTTATGTGTAACTAAGTAACATTATTGTTGAACATATGATTGTAATGGCCTTGATTATGACATTGCCTAGAGTTGTAGAGCCAAAGAAACAATCCAACACAATGGCCTTGTAATCTTGTTGTTCCTTAATACTCCTTCTGTCTTATCATTAAAATGTGCTCTTAACACTCTCAATAAGACATATTCAGGGATTTTGAGCACTTGACAAAGAACTGCAATTATATGATTGCACTTGTATGTATAGTACTTATGCATAGGTAGATATGTGGGTGCAGACCTGCCCATTGAGTATTGATTGATTTTCGCTCACTTGTTTAGTACATTTTGGATACTTAGGATTTAAAAGATTTTTCTTATTAGATCTTGATTTTCATTAGCATTGATAGTAATCCATGATTGAATTACAATGAAGTGTTAATGAGTAATAAGGATTTTCTGCTACTTTAGTCGTTGTATAATGAATTCGAGGGAGAATCAAATGAATCTGTATCGCGTTTCGGCGCATGGATTGGGGTGGTGTTCGTCGTGTGGGGCGATTCCATTTCCCATGACGAATTTGAGGTCATGGGACAGACCGGAGTATTGTATAAGATCGTGGCAGCCTGTAAGGTAGTATACTAATCTCATCCAGATATTGTAGGTATTTTATGTTATACACGATTAAAAACCAGATTGATATGGTTTAGCAATTCAGAAATGGAGAGTGTAATAAACACTTCTGTTTTAATCTTGTATGACATGATACCTATGTGTGTGGCTTCATATTTTGAGATTGTTCACAAAATTTTTTTTCTATACTTAGTAGTGTAAAATGAGATATGATTCTAGTTTATTCCATAATTAGCTCCTATATAATATAGGTGGAATAAATATCAACATATTTTTGCCCATATGGTGTGTAATAATATCACCAACAATATGTCCTCTGACATTTGATGAACCTCTTATTATGGTCATCTTTAAATGCCATTCTATTATGGAAGCAATGAGTTGTTGGCGCCGGGCAATAAAAAAAAAGTTTTTCTATTATTATTGAACATTGGCACACATTTGTCAAGTAGGTAGTAGTAGTATTCTTTTAAATAATATCAATGTTTGTGATAAAATTTGGATGTTTTCTTATTGTTTTTGTAGTTTGTCTTAATATTTTGTCACAACACCATAATGCAACAGTTACAGTAGGATTGTTTAATTTTATTGGATTGAATTACATGTTCTATACCTTTCTCAAAATTTCTTCATTTTTCTGACATGGTTTGGATTGGAATTTATCATTTTTATTTATAACTTACAAAAAGTATTAAGTCTATACTAGTACTGTAATCCATTATTTCAATGAATGGGACTGGACTTGTGAGTGAGGGAGAGGTCATAGTTTTGGGTGTGGTACACTATGGCTTGGTGGATACCATCATATTGACCTCTTGGCTCCATCAGAAGCTGGTTACTTTATAATATTTTTCTCTACAGTTGTGGTGTGGTGATGATGAAACATGTAAACTGTAATCTGTTTTGAGTTTGACATGTATCTGTAAGTGGAAGATGTTACCTGTTCTCCTGCTTGCCAAGTTATTCTTAAACTTATACCTATGAAGCTTATTTTTTATTATTTTAATCTCTTCTCAGTCTATCTGTGCCTCCTTGTAGTGTGCTTTTGTGACAGTCATTGTTTTTAAGGACACTCTTCATGGCAAGTTGCCATCACCACTCATTGTTACTATGAGAACAGTGATTGTTTTGTAATCTTTGTTTTTACTCTGTTTTCCTTCAACTGTTTGCAATACACAACAGTGGAAACATTGTGGTGTAAGTTGTGAGAACTGTCTTACTTCTTATATGTGGCTTCACAGAATTGGGGGAATTATGTCCTGACAATGGATTAAATGATCCAATTTATGTAAATATGATGGTGTAATTGATGGTTTATGTGTAGTTACATTCATTTGTGGTGTTGTGTATGAACTGTAGAAGCAACGAATATTTCTGATGAGTAGTGTCACCCCACTTTAGTACATATTGATTGTAGTTCATTTCATTACCACATAGGACCTTTTTATTGATTTTCAATATTTTTTTGGGATAAGACTGTAAGTGAGCAGACGGATCATCTGATGGTTAGCAATTGCTGTGGCCCATGGACACCTGGAACACCAGAGGAGTTACAAGCCTTGTGGGGATTACGAATTTAAGAATTGATGGTGATTCAGGGATTGGGTAGTTTTTTTTATGTTCTGTCGTTTGACCACTATATCGCCTGGTGGTCAGCGATGATGCGATCTACGATTGGGGGGGTTAAGGCATTTAAATAAAGAAGTACTTAATGTTTCACGCTTGTGCATCATGTTCAATCAACTTATTCGTTTCGTCATTACTCCATGTAATATAAATGAGTTTCATATCAACTTGTAACTATCACATGCTGTCATTAAATGATACACCTATTCACAATTTCTGGCGACGAATGGCTTTAGCAAATTTTTTGTTTCGTACAGTCGTAACAGTCTAGCATTCATCTAAAGGCCGATTTTTTCCAACGCCAGATAAATTTTAACTGAGAAATAACTTTGAATATTTGACAATTTTCCTATAAAATACTAAAAACTGTCAAATGTTAATTTTATTCTACAGTTGAGAATTAACAGATAATTGAAAAATCGGCCCTAAAAGTCGTTTGAAAGTTATCTCCACAAGTACAGTGCCATAAGTAGATATTATTAGTTTATGCAATGGTACTTTGTATGTAATTTGTGAAAAGAACTCGAAGATCCAATGTTGCAAAGCAACATACGCGTTATTTGTACCAAATTAACATGAATGCTAGGTAAATTGTAGGTAAATGTTTCAAAGTCAGCACAAATTAAACAAATGTCTGTGTGTGTGTACATGTAGATCAGTGGCAAACACTAATACATTCCTGTTTTGCAGGGTTCCTGCTCATATACACTGGATACCAACAATTTACGGAACAAACGTAAGTACATAACATTTTATTGAAATATATTATTTACAAAAAAATCTGTTCAAGTCTTATTAACGTGTTGTTTATGTTATTTGCTCGAAATTGCATAAATAAACTTTTTTATTACAGGAAGAACCATTCAATAGGATGGATCCACCATGTCCACAAAATGGGAAGATTTATGATGGGGCAAACGCTCCCTTCAATGTTAAACAAGAGACAAAGACTGATAATGATCCTGCTATTGAGAATCCAGGGGCCTCGCACAACAATGGTAGGCAGCAAATCGACGATATTGAAAGAGAAGATTTTGATGAAGAGAATAGAATCCTGAAACATTGTTCTGGAATGATCGTCGATGGTGAAATCGAGGCACCTTCACATTATTCTGGAAATCTCTCCAGTGCTAACTCCAGTTTAGCATCCAGTTCGGAGACTATTTCTAATTTTTCCAATTTAATACCTCATGACTATAGTCTCCCTGGTTGTAGCAAAGATGGGGATGATTCCAATACTACTATTAAGAACATGATTCATTCAAAAAAATATGTAGTGCATGAGCAAAAAGAGGATTTCATGCAGAAGCTGTTGAATAATAATATACAAGAAAAGAAAGATTTTCCTAAGGGAAAACTTTATAAAGGAGATAATTTGGATTGCGATAATGATGAAGGTTGTGATATAGATGGTGTGAGCGGGCCTTCAGGGAGGACCAGTTCAAACGCGTCGAGTATAGGAAGCTCTAGTTCAGATAGCACCAAGGGGTTCAGTGTGCCGTCCACGTCCAATGCTGAGAAGCTGCTCGGTCTTGACGACAGCAGCAAGAATGAGCCGGGGAGTTCAAAGTCTCCGGTGAGCTGAAAAATATTCTTTTACTTGTGTGAAATGTCTTGTAATACTTATTTTTGTTTACAGCTACAGCAAGCGGGCACTATTTGAAGTCATTATTGATTTGATTGGACCTTGTACACCAATATAACTGATGAGTTGTGTTGTGAGTTATGTACCGAATGATTAACAATGTGATTATTTCAGAACTACAACTACTGCGATGGCGAGGAAGATTCGGACGAGGAGGCCGCAGAAGACACGTGGTGTACGTGCCTGTCCTCCCATGAGGTAATTATTTAGTATTTAATTATTATATTACTCTGTCGAGTGAAAGGGACGAATGATTCTTTCTATTTCTATCTCTCTCTTTCCATTTCATTCTATTTCTTGAAACTTCAAGGGGCCTACTACCATAAAGTGAATATTTGTTTCTTTGTATTACGACTACTACAATATTGCTTATGCTGCACAGTCTGAACACTTTGTACTACATAATACATATCGTGGAGACATGATGCGGGCGTGACGTCAGCATCCTAATAGCGGTCATAGAGGCCAATTGTAGCAAATTACATGTTTTATTCCATGAAGAAACTCCAGTTTTCTTAGACAAAACGTAGTAAATTCTTTGACATTCTATTTCAATACGACCTTCAAAGTATAGACTGATTGTCACTCTTCAAGACTTGCGTGACGTAAGATTGTTGGGCAACACTTGTTTGGTCTCATCTCAACATCGGAGAAAAGGCTTCGACGTAAACTGACTTGAAACTTTTAACTGTAACTCAAACCTATTGTAGGTTTCAGAGGCCTTAGTCCGAGTCTGTTTGATGTTTAAAGTAATCGTAACGAGTACGCGTTCGACGTTGTGATTGGCCGGCTCCAATGAACTAACCAATCAGAGACGCCAGACGCCGTCTCGTTACGATTACTTGAAACGAAAATGAAACTAGTACTAAGGCCTCAGTAAAAGCAACATGTCTGGTTTATGTATGTACAGATGTTCAGCCTTTTTCAGTACTAATAAATACTTATTTACTGATGCGTCCTTTAGCACCGGCTACTCAATTGGTCGCGTCTCGTGCAATCAAATATTCACTTCATGTCCAAATGTTCAAACTGTACCGTGAATTTATTTAATGTGTGTAAAACAATGCGTATTTCAGGATGACGACGAGGATGATGAACCAGAAGCTGAACCGGAAAGACTTTGGGTAATATAAAATAGCCAGAAAGTATAAAGCACAGAATTAATTCCTTTAGTCGGACGGACCCCGCGGCCGTCTAGAATGTTTAGATCCCGACTTAAACATTGCAATTCCAAGGTTTTGCAATTGGAATGAATGTTTCAGACACAGCATTAATATTAACTATATTTTGCGGGTCACTAAACGGCGTGTGTTAGTTTGCTCAGTTTTACTAAATACAGGATGTAGGAAAAGGAATTATTGCTTATGATTGTAACTACTAAGAAATCCTAGTTTTTCGATCAATATTCCTTTAAGTTTTATCGATGAAATATAAGCAATATTTCCATTTTCATTAGCTTGCAGTAACTAATGTGGTGGTTGGATATTTATTATAAAGCTTAATAATTTTAACCTTGTAGATATCATTACGTTATAATATAGGGCTAGTTGAACAATCTAGTTATACTCGTATCACACGATCATTTACTTGATAGGTAAATACAGATTACAAACTCCTTTTTAAGTCAACTCAGCGATTAAGTTTTGTAGGCAATTTCTTTAGAATGTTATTGTCAGTTATGACGACATCTTACACAGAACATGTCGATTTACGCTTAGCATTATTGTTGGTTATGCTTAAAACTGTGCAGCCAGTAAACATTAAATGCATAGAGTCATCATATTTTGTGGGTTGACGCGTGCAAATTGAGGAAATTAACATGAAAGCAGACTCAGATCGTCGCCAATGCCACGGGCACGTATACTCATACTTTTCCTCGATTATAATTCAGGTTAATCTTTATCTTGAATACATATAGGCTTAGTCCCTCGATCTGCAAGGTATATTCTAGTTTCAGCTTCTCAAAAATCGGTCAATTATAACTTCCCTACTGATTTAACTAAACGGTCGTGTAAAACACCCACTCCTTACGTATTATGTTTCGGGTCGACAGGTCAGCACGGGCACAATTTGTTCGATTGAATCGGAATTACTGGCCATTCAACTATGAACCGTTTACCTCTAAACACTACACGAAGTATCGGTTTTACAGGACCCTCGCTGGAATATAAGTCATAGATATTTAATATACAAGTTTTAATCTCTAAATGGCTCAGGTGAATAGAAATTGTCCCAGGACTGCTAAATCGGCCGTAAGTCTCGTGATATCCATTTACTATTAATCTGGAAAGTAAAAAAAGGAATGAACTTATAAATGTGAACACAACTGATGTCTGCTTCTATCATGGTGAAATGTTTAAGATGCGTTAGATCGACATGAATCTTAATAAAGTATACATTATTGAACGCCGCGGCGTAACTAATAGCTGTTAAGGTATTCAGAAAACCGCTCTCGATAATGTATTATTCATTCGGCTATAAATGCATAAAAACATTGATCTATAGTGTTGTCCTAATCTTTCTCGGTTTTTATATAAAAGTGTGTAAAAATACCTTGATTTTTACACAAATTACAGAAATGGAATAACATAACCTATTGCAAAAAAATCCCTATAGGTTACATGATAAAATGAAGAAAATCAATAGGTATTTCTTTAACAACAATTATTCTACATTTTACATATATTTCCATGTCTAGTTAAGTACAGGTTGGCAGCTTCAGCTCATTATGCATTATATCGTGTTAAATTTACTGATAAAATTATATACTTAATTTTTTTTATTTTAATCTATTATACATTAAAAGCTATGCAAGAAACGCATTTAATACCTATAATATTCGAATGAATTAGCTGCATGATAATTTGAATCTTATTCGCCATAAGATTGGTTTGTTTAGTGCAAAATTAATTAGGTATGTTCAGTTTGGATTTCAAGGATTCTGTGTATGTTTGTAACAGGGTCTGGAGGTAACTCTGGCGTGGAATATTTGTCAACACTATTTCTCTTATTGTATCTAACAGTATCAAACGCTCTCTTTGTCGAAGTGGTGGTGTTATTTGTACAATTCTATTTTTATAGCATCCAAAGGAATATTTGTGGATTGTTATCAATCCATGTCACTGGTAAAAGTGTATTCTTTGTACTTGTAAATTTCATTGTTTGGGGCGATAGGTGTTGTTTATGTTATGTAAGCTTCTATTAACATTTATTTTATTTAAATTGTTACCTATATGTACTGATATTGGATTTGGTTTGTGTATTAAGTATTTCAACACACTAAGCTTATTGCGTACAACTGCCTTTTTATGAATATAACAATTAGTACAATTTTTGCCTTGGATTTGAAATTTACATTATTTTTGCGTAAAATATCAACAGAATCATGCGGGATAGGTGCTAATAGGTGCTTAACCCAATTGGCATGCAATTTTATCTACTTTACTTTTTTTACTCAGTTAAGTCAATAAATGTGAATATTGGACGAAACATTTAAAAAGGTTTGAATGATTTCGTCAATGTTACATGAACAGAAAGATTCGATTCTTACAGCCTTCTGTATGGCGCCAATGTCACTTGTCAAAGTTCACACAAAAAAAGATGCGGGAAGATACTTATCCGATTTGGCGGGTAGTGTGCATATTTATATGGCAAGTGTGTTGAAATATTTAATAAAAATCGCGTGAGCAGTATACACAATTACAGTAAATAAAGTACACTTTAGCGTATTGCTATCAAATGTAATTTTTGTATTCTGCCTTCGACTTAATCGCGAAATTGTCTCCTTGTAACATAAATAGGAACAATCAGTCTTAAGAGTCATTTGCTTGCATTTTATTTTTCTTGAGTGGTTTGCTTGAGGGACTGGTGTTTGTGTGAGTTTCATTACTAGATCTTATTATTTATGTTTTGTTTTTTCTATACTGGTATTATTATTTTCTATGCTAAAAATATACTGAATGATATATGCGGCATCGAATGTCAGTCCTTACTAAAATTCTTAGTTTTTTAAACATGAGCTGTAGGCAGGTTGAGGTCAGCCACTCGGAGCCTGAACGCGGATATACAGTTTATCCTATTGACAATTCAAATATAATTCAGAATTGATTGAGCGGCGCGTTACTCACACTGACATACATCTCATGTTTTGCCTCAAATAGTCTACGAACAATGGAGTCTCGATCATTTGAACTCAGCATAATCTGATGGTAATGTGTCCCAGTCTGCTGACGTCCTCATTTTAGAAGAAACTGAAATTGTATATTGTTCAGATTAAACCCAACTAATGATCGAGTCTTCAATTTAACGTCGCTCCAGTCTTGCTATTCTGTTCTTATGGTATTTATGATTAACAAAAGGAAGTTGGTGCATTTACGTGTCATGTATGTTAATGCTTACGTCTTCATTTACAGAGGAAGCGCCGTCATGATCCGCACCCACCGCAGACTGTTAAGAAATTCTGCGGAGAGTCTCCGTCACCAACATCCTTTGGATCTGAAGGCTGGCCAACTCCCACCAGCGTCATAGTACCCAACACTAGTGTCATCGCCGCGCAAGCACCGCCGGAGATCAAGTCTTGGCTTAACAGGTTAGTAAATATTAGACTCGAAATGTTTTTGGGTAAAGCCATTTAATACTGTCGTCATTCTCCTCTAGAACAAGTCTTTCTTAAGTGTGTCACACTGAACAACAAATTGCTTATTGCATCCAATGGCTGCTAGAAATATTATTCCAAAGATTGGTCATACCTAGTAGTTTAATCTCACTATAGTATTAAACAACTTAATAAACTTGTAATATTTGTATCTAGGTTCAGTAACTGGACCAACGTGGAGAAGATCCAGGCTATTGATGAGCTCATAGGCTGCTGTGCCCCGAGCCAAGTCCGGCACATGATGAAGTCCATTGAACCACTTTTCCAACGAGACTTTATATCCCTTCTGCCTAAGGAGCTCGCTCTCACTGTGCTCGGGTATTTGCAACCCAAGGATCTGCTGAGAGCTGCTCAAACTTGTCGCTACTGGAAGTAAGTGTTGTGTTTGTTATATCGACATTTTAAATATCTACTATAATAGTTATTGTTTTCTTCTTAATGTGACGAAGATATCTCAAAGTATATAATGATAACCTCAAAATACAGATTCCTCGCGGAAGACAACCTCTTGTGGAAGGAGCAATGTCGGCGCATTGGTATCACCACCTTGAAGAAGGTGCCTCGTTCCCTGCCCCGCTGCGCCAGTCCTTGGAAGGCAGCATACATGCGGCAGTATCTGATTGAGAGCAACTGGCTGCATAAGCCTGTAGCCACGCCTATTATCATGAGGGGACATGATGACCACGTGATCACCTGCCTACAGTTCTATGGCAATCGCATCCTCAGTGGAAGTGACGATACCACACTAAAAGTGTGGTCGGCCGTCACCGGCAAGGTGAGCTGTGTAAAGTATAGCGTTTAATATTGTTATCACTGTTTCTAATGTTATCAGTCGTCAGTCTTGCTGTTTCATATATTCAGCTGAGTTTAATACACAAACAAAGAAATAGCTTATGACAATTAAATGCGAAGGTTTGCAGATGATTGAATATCTTTTTTTAAAATTTTAAGCTTTCTATACACCTTACGGTGCAATTTATTAATTATTATATTAAAATAACTAATGTTTATGTAATCTCTTGTCAGTGTTTGCGCACGCTGGTGGGTCACTCCGGCGGCGTATGGTCCTCCCAGATGGTGAATGACCTGGTGATCAGTGGCTCTACTGACCGAACTCTTCGTGTATGGAACGCTAAGACTGGACAATGCCTGAAGGTCCTCGCAGGGCACACTTCGACCGTGCGTTGCATGCACCTGCATCAAAACAGGTACACATCACAATACTTTCTTTTTTAATTACATTAACAACTAAGTACCACTAAATTCCATCTACAATTGTCTAGTATCTACAGTCAAAAACGAATAATTTCAACTGTTCTACACAATATAAAAAATAATCACACATTAATTTGACAATGTACTTAATGAATTTTCACATTTCTTATCTTAAAATCATTGAAATTATTATACTGGTTCTCAAAGTCTTCATAAAACACCACCTATTCATTAGAAGAAGTTCTAGAAAGATCACGTCTGTATTGTATGTTATATTAAAGAGTTAGCTGGACGCTTACCATATTGTCTGATTGATTACCATAATTGGTTAGTTTCCTGGGTCAAAATTAAATTATTTTGCTTTTTCAGGCCAATTAAATATTGAAAAATAGTTACACTTTCATTCATTGATTTGCCCATATATTAAATTTTGGTTTTTTTTTAGATATAAGTGTGCTATTTGACGCGAAAATATAATAAGATGGTATTTCGTACAAAATTCATAGAACATTATCGTTTTTGACGTTTCGATAAAAGTATTGAATTTGACTAGTTGTAAACTACCGTATTGCATTTGTCCGCCATGCTCTTGCCCGTTTGTTTCTGAAATAGCAGTACTTATATCTATGCTGATTATGCGAACAAATAAAATGTTGAATGTGTCTTATGCTTACAGTATTGGTATTTTTAATTAGTTAAAATGGTTTATTTGCATTTGTCTATCACTGTTCTTTTAGTTAAATTATATTAAGCGATAAAATTATTGTTTATCATCATCATATCAGCCCCAAGGCATTCACTGCTGAACACAGGCAAATTTTTTGCTAAATTAACTACATATTTGTTAAATGCTTATTTGTTTAATTCGTTCCTCCTATATATACCTACATATTTTAACATAACTGCTTGCGACGCACAACTTCAGTACGATTACAAGCGATTGCGTACTATTGAGATAATATTGCGATTGTTTGTGGTAATTCATAACAAAATATAGATAATTTTGTTTATTATTGAATTACGTGCTAGCTCTTATCTATTTCTGTTGCATATAACTAACGCTTCGTAGCGAACTTAATCTTTTGTATCGCCTTGTAATCATTAAACAAAGATAATAAGATTTTTCTAAGAAAATTTATATTTGTCAGTGAAATATAAATAATTAGTCATTAAATTATAACAAAAACAATGATTTGGTTGTGGGTTTCACGGAAAATGTGTCAATGTGTCAACAAACGTTTTGATGGAAATTGTTTATGGGCTTAAGCTTTTGCCCGCGCGAATTCTAAGTCCCCAGTACTCCTAATGATTTCGTATACAACAAACAAAAAAACAAAAAAATCCAATTAGATTGCTTTACTAAATAAAGCGTAAAATAAATAATTTTATTTCTTTGTTTCCAATTAAAGCAACCACTTGTACATGGTCTCCTATTTTAGACTCTAAACAGACGGACCATATTTCAACTGCAATACAACCGCAAATTGCAGTTTGAATACAGTCTTATCATGACTGACCGTAAATCACATGTGCAGACCGATTGCAGTCGTCTTAACTGCGTTTAAAATGCATCTTAACTGCAATTTGCAGTTGGAATGCAGTTGAAACGCGGTTTATCTGTCTAAAGCCTTGCAATGAGTATGTATGTGATTCCACATATTTCTGATGCAATTTTAACTAAAACAATGTAAAAGCAATACCGTCTTTACTCGACTTTGAAGTGGAATAGTTAATACTTGGCGCTATGCAAGCCGAGTGCTTATCACTTTGCTTTTTAATGTTCTGTTTGCTCCATCAGTAGCAATTGAGATGATGTATCAGTCAAAAATAGTTTCAAAATATACATCTATTTCAGTATTTAAAAATACTCTCATTTATTTATTTACTTATCAAATTAAGAGAAATATTATACAGCATGTGTAATAAAGGGTAGCAAACAAGTCAAATGTATGGAGTGTTTGCCACCCCGGGTCCTCCCTTCAATAGCAACATGTGGTATAGCGTTTGATAGGGCTTCTTAAATGGAACACAAGACACTAATAATAATACTTATGGTCAAATATTAGTATCATCGGAGGTACAACACCATAAAGTCATTTCAATCTAAGGTATTCTATAAGGATATTGTACACAAAATGTTTATACACATTGATGTTCTTTTTACCTGATATTAGAATCATGCTGGATGGTAAAGAGAGGAGCGTATTTCTAAATAATATCACACATAAAGGTGAAGCTATGCTTGCCGAGGCCAGTCTTTAGATGGATCGCAATTTATCATTAAACTGCCTTCTTAGTCTACATGTAGAAGTAGTAGAGATGTAAAGAGTGAGTTTTGGAATGTTTATCTTACAATTAAGTGAGTTTAAGTTATTATACCCTTAGCTCGGGAACATTTTTATAGCAATATGGTACCCACTATAACCACAGTTTCGAAACCTCTGACTTTTAACTTTAGTCGTAATACAAAGTTTTATTCTGCATAAGAATACCTATCCATAGAGGCGTATCTTATTCCTATTGAGAGGTGGGCCCAATATTACCCAGTGTTCTTTTAATAATATGTTCGGAGGCTTTAGTAACTTTAGTAACCAACTTCGGGTGGTTTATTGGTGCCGGCCAATCAGAGCGCCGAACGCGTATTCGTTACGATTATTTTAAACATAAAACAAACTCTTACTAAGACCTCTGGTACTAACGCCTTAGTATACCAAAGTATTGATGTTACAAATCTATTGCACCGGTAACGAGTTATGTGTTTACAGTTTATTAATTGGGTACTTTCCTGAAACAAAAATAAATTAATACACATAAAATTATCACACTTTAATTAATTGATTTTATGACCAATATAATTTTAGTATTTTGCCAGCATATTTTTAAGAAACAAGTACGCTGTCTGACGCTAAATAACTACTACACTACACGATCTCGTACAAAATTTAAAGAAAACTTATCGTTATTGACTGTTCGAAAAAGTATTGAATTTGACTAGTTGGCAAGGACCCAATTATTTTGCTTTATATTTTTTATTGCTTTTCTTTTTACAAAACGTTGCCCCACATTAGGATTTTCTCCTGTGTCGTTGGTTACAAACATACAAGTTCACATACACATGACACCTAGACCTGAAACAACAATTTGTGGATCACACAGTGTTGTTCCGTGCGGGAATCGAACCCGCGGCGCGTTGCACGGTAGCCGGTTGCCCAACCAGCGCACCAATCGTGCAGTCTAAAGTTTAAAGATTAGACCGAGAGTTTCCCGTTGATAATATTAATACTACCTACTCCTGTAAGGTTAGAGTGGTCCTTAAAAAGTATTTTAAACATTTGACTAGGCCATGTAAAAGTCTTATAAGGTATACTTAATGACGTTATAATGTTTCATATTTATGACACTCTGTAAAGTCCCGAGTGAACAAAACTGATAGTTTTTGGAATTTGTGTGAGAAGTGTTTTAGGTTCAATAAGATCACCCCCTATTACAAGAGATTCATAACAGAAATAATGAAAAATGAGTCTTACATTGTACAGTGGCATTAAGTGCCGTAATGTGCTTACCCCTTCGAGGCGTGATGTTATGTTGTGTGAGAAACTGAGAAGTGATGAATGTTACTTAAAATCGTTGTTTGTAACATTTAATTTGACTAGTTGTCATCCTCGTCTCTGTTATGCTTTAATATGCTGGGATACAAGATTTTGAATGAATAAGATACAGACAGTCATTTGGTAAATGAAACAATATTTGCGAATATTCGCAGTTATCTGTTCTGCGACATTATGACCTTGATCATAATAAAAATAGTATCGTCGCAAATAGTATTGTCACGCCACTAGAATTAGTGAGTACTTTAGGCACAGTAATGGACAATAGGGAGGTGCCGTAACAGGCGTTGCACTATGGGGGCTCCGGAGTTAGTCTACTAAGAGGACCCGGTGCCTCCTCCAAGTGCGGATGGTGGCCACCGGGGAGGTTTTTTGTATAATCTACAAATTGTTGTTTCGAGTCTGGGTGTGATGTTTATGTGAACTTATATGTTTGTAATCGTACCCACGACACAGGAGAAACTCCTAGTGTGGGGCAAAGTTTTTTTTTAAAGAAAATAAAAAACATCTATAAAAGTCTAAAAAGAATAATTACCTTTGTAGTTGGGTAATGTAATTTTTAAATTAGCTATGCGTCATCTTTTGTACCTATTTTAAGAAAAAAAAGTATGCTATTTAATGCTCGCTAATTACATCTTCGTATTGTGAAATCATAATAATAATTTTTAAACTACTATAAGTTTTAATTAAAAATAAAAAGATCTTCCTTTTAGTACTTATAATTTCTGTTATTAACTATGTGAAGCAAGAAATAAAGACGCTTTTTTATTTTTATTTCATTTATTGTGAAATCTAATACAAAATCATATAATTGCTACTTTTCCGTTTATGTGCCAGGTGAATTCGTCATTAAGTCATAACTGTCATACTATTGAGAAAAGACCTCACACCGGTTGGACTGAACAGGAGAATTAAACTCTTTTTCTTTTGTCCCCAGAGTGGTATCTGGATCCCGCGACGCTACTCTTCGGTTGTGGTCCATACCTGATGGCCGTTGTCTCCGTGTTCTCATCGGTCACTTGGCTGCCGTGCGATGCGTGCAGTTTGATGGGAAACTCATCGTGTCTGGAGCGTACGACTATTTCGTGAAAGTGTGGAACCCTGAAACCGGTGACTGCTTGCATACCCTCGCCGGACACACCAACAGGGTGTATAGCCTGCAGGTAACATATGTTTCATTACTTAACATCATTTATTGATAAGGTCGAAAGGAGTCTGTGTGATTCACGAAGCAATCAATAGAGAATTGTTTAAAGTCTATTTAGTCCATCACTTTAGAGAAAAAAATATTAGACCAGTTAAGGGCAGTTGCAGGTTTCATTGATATTATATTTTGTTCCATTACTCTTCGTCTCATTGTCCATTGACTAACTTTGACTCCTCGCATGTCACGTGGCTGATCAGCGTTCAGAACAACGATTGTGAAACGAAGTAGTTGCAATAAACCGATCGTCTGGCATGTGGTCTACCTGTTCCAAGCCTGTGAACAAAGGTCCCAGTGCCTAGTTACCTAGAGTGTACATTTTTGCCCTTGTCCGACTTAAATGAAGTTCTGAGAGCCACTTCAGGTTGTCCGCTCCCAATCTCGAGAGTAAAGTTACACGATGAGCAGACTGCTCAAGTGTGGAATCAATTTTGTATAATAAAAGATTGCCAAGACAGTGATGGCCGTGGTCTGCCACGACCAGCCTTAAATGCAAAGAGGATAAACAAAACCACTTATTTACAGTTTTTAACACAGTACAACAAAAATGTTACAAATATTTAAACTACGCAAAGAAATTCATTTTTATTTGAAGAGTGAAAAGTTTTCTGGGAATTTGGCATTCGGCTATGTATCTCATTATGATTATCCCACGGGACCGTGGGCAAAGCTGTTGGCAGAAGCTAGTATAATATGTAGACGGGATAGAGATGATGGAGAAGGTATCTCATGAAGATATTCTATTATTTCGAACTTAGTTCAGTCTGAGTTACGCAATACTGGGTGATGGTAATAAGAGATGAGATGACACTGTAACTTGGAAATGCCCTAATATTTTAAAACACGAACCTATGAAATTATAAATGTAATTAACTGTCTGCCTACATTTTTGTCATAAATTCCTAATATTAATTCAGTTTACACAGTTCTAATATTATAATTTTCTCTTTACCTTTTAGTTTGATGGCGTTCATGTGGTGAGCGGCTCTTTGGATACTTCTATCCGGGTGTGGGATGTAGAAACTGGACAACTCAAGCATACCCTGACTGGCCACCAGTCTCTGACGTCGGGTATGGAACTGCATTCCAATATCCTGGTGTCTGGTAATGCCGACTCCACTGTCAAGGTCTGGGATATAACCACGGGGCACTGCCTTCACACCTTGTCCGGTAAGTGATGAATCTGAAATAATAATTAGAATATTTTATTTGTAGTAAGTACTATATATCAACATTTTTTCTTTACAGGTCCCAACAAGCACCAGTCAGCGGTCACCTGCCTTCAGTCGAGCAACCGGTTCGTTATCACCTCTTCGGATGATGGCACTGTCAAGTTATGGGATGTCCACACGGGAGAGTTTATCCGAAATCTGGTGGTATTAGGTTCCGGTGGTTCGGGTGGTGTTGTTTGGCGTATTCGTGCTTCTGCTACCAAACTTATCTGTGCCGTCGGTTCGCGCAATGGCACAGAGGAAACCAAGCTACTCGTTCTTGACTTCGATGTGCCTGGGGCTTGCCGTAAGTGCGACGAATAGCAACGACTGAACCGACGCCTCTTGCGTCGCTACGCAAACCTCTACGCGCCTTGGCACTGTTAAAGTGCATCTTAGTGTCTGTGTCGGTCCTTAACGTGGCTGCTTGCGTCCTATAGTTTGTCCCTTTTTTATAATCCCATCTGGATTTGTTGGAAGGATAAGTGTGAATCTTGCGTATGGTCCTGTGATGCTGTATAAGTCATAGAGCCCATTTGGACGTGATATGTAGCATAGTGTTATAACTTATACAGCATGACAACGGCCTTAGTATTTAACACAAACTGACGCTATAACAGCAGCATAATATAAATCCCCACCAGGCCATGACGGTAACGGACAAATACTTATTCGACCTGGAGAATGGTATATTTTAATCTAGTAGTTTATGACGCGGCTCACCCATAGCAGCCAAAAGCATCACATTATGTAAGATTAAATCGATTTTTTCGGGTCACAAGTCCTTTACCGTCTTATAGTGTTGTAAAGCATGATTCGACAGAGATTGATAATAAACTTTAGCTCTTTAATTGATATTCCATGACACCGACATACGTCACTTGCCATTATAGGTCTATGGATGTCAAACGAAAGAAATAAAGTCTGCAATTTAGGAGTGTAAGCACTTTAGAATCTCATACTGAAGACCGCGTATTAGATGTCATCGGTACACAGTGGTGCATATCATAAAATTAGTGTAACCGATGATAGCGTTCTGTCGAATGATGCGTTGCGACGCGCGACGGCCGACCAACACAGCGATGACGAGAGAGGCGAGGTTCAGTCGGCTGCTATCACTCGGTGCTGCAGAGTCAGCATGAAGGTCGTACGAGGAGACGCGGGAGAGTGAAAGTGTACCGTCGACGTGGCAAGGGGATCAGTTGTACCCACCGGACTGTTTTTGCGCAACGTGCAAATGGACTTATTTTACTTACTATAGTCTTGCGTAACTCAGGTATCCACGATGTACTCATATGATAAATAATCAATTCAATACCATTACTATAGTTCTAGTTGTTAAAATGTTCAGTAGATAAAAATGGTGGCTAAACAACCATGTCGCATTGCCAAATTCCTTTATTTTTTACTCTGTGTTCCAAAGAGATGAAAATCGGAATTAGATGTTAAGTCTATTTTTTTATTTTAATTTTTAAGATGCTTCTCCGTGATGTGTAAAACTCGGCACAGTATATTTTTTTTTATTGTTATTTTAATCATTTGACTCCTTAACTGTTTAATTTCAGTTAAGATAATTAAATTATGTATGATTATTTTATTTTATTTTATTGATATTTGCAATAATGGTTAAATGTAGGATACATTTATTTTATTTTTCTTTGTCTTTGGGCACCTGTTTCCCAAAATTCATGTTAATTTTATTTATAATAACTAGCGTGACACATCCCACGTGAATATACTTAAAAAAGATTTGCTAGGCTCAAGTCACAGATTGACGGTCCCTCATGACCAGCGTGCGCGGTCACTGGCACTGACATTACTGGCATCGAAACTAGTAGAGCTATTCTCAGTATATTCACGTGAGAGTCCGTAATTTTTAGTTAATTTTATTGATAATTGACTTTTCTTTGACTTTATGATGTTATTTAATTAATTCATTATTTATTTTGTGTAATTAATTTTTTTAATGAATACTGTGTCGTCCCCAAATATCTCAATTTAATGGCCAGCAGTTTTATCGCTTAACTTGTTTAATAGTCACTTAAGATAATGTACGTCTCTAATATTATAAACATTTCAGACTTGTAATGATACCGAATTAAGATGTAAACAATTTAAATAATCATAATTCTCGGTGGTGTTAGTATGTGCGTATGCAATTGACTTTGCAATTTTAACGTAACGTAATGCAGCGGGTGGCTATAATACACCCGCGGCGCGTGTATTTATTTGTTGTATACAGAGTGGTCCAAGTAGGGATGTCAATATTTTTTTAGATTGCTCACACCTGGGTGTATCCAAAACTACCCCATGTATGTTCCGCAATTTTTCGTAAGTTTTCGAGTTATATAATAATATGTTTTTGTTTGGGTTTCATAAATTCATAACTTTTTGACGTATTTTGGTGCTATTTGCGACATCATTGTCTTGAATGTTGTGTTATTAAAACAAAAAAATAAAAAAAATACAGATTGCTAAAACAACTTTATTGGGTCCTAACTACAAAAATCGTAAAAAGTAGTACTTTATAGGCCTTTTTGTTGTCATCGTGGCCTTCGAAGGCAAGTACACTACAAATATTGAAATCCGACTAAAGTAAAAATTAGAATTTGAATAATTTTTTATCGAAATTCCCGTAACATGACTGTGTAATGTTTGCAATGAATGTGAAAGTACCTGTTTTTGGATAAGACTGCAACAACTTACTGTTTACAACAAATTTTCAAAATACCTTCCTTCCAACTTGAATACGCAATTGACAACGTTTTAAAAAGTTCTGTTTTAATTGTCTAAAGGTACTGGAATAATATTATTGTCTTCCTGCCTCTGTCACTTATTGCATTAATTCTGTATCGTTGTTGCTATCCCTCGTGAACACCAGATCTTTGTAGAATCCCCAAACAAAAAAACCGATGGGGTTAAGGTCTAGCGAAGGAACAGGGCATACGATCGGCCGTGCACGCCCAATCCTTTTGAAAAAGTAGTACAACTCTCACACTTACCGTATTCACATTAACAAAAACACAATAACAAGTATAATTCGAAATTTACAAAAAATCGCAGAACTCTCATGGGCGTATTTTTGCACACACCCAGATGTGAAGAATCTAAAATAAAATTTACGTCACTACTTGGACCACCCCGTATAAATATATACAAATAATAATGTGGTCATTGAAGGTCGCGTTTATGTAGCCGCTACTCTTCATAAATGGCTGTAATATTAAATAATTAAACGAAGACTGAAGCATAGTTATAGTGTAATATTTAAAGTATTAAATTGTAGTTACTCCTGTACTACCGACCATCACACTCAGCTGTATGTCTTTGTTGTCTACCCTTCACCTCCTTTTTGAAAACATTCGGTCTCTATTTGTTATTAGTTCTAAGATCAGACGCGAAACTGTCGCGGAAGTAATGATGGACATGAAATTTAATTAGTTACGGCTTATTGTAGTTCTTTTTAGTTTTAAAATGTAATTATTACACTAAGTATTTTGTAAAACCAAAATGTTTCCATAGCCGGGGTTAGAAATAAAATAGTTGGTGTACCATGTTCGGCCCGTGTAGTCGATAACAACAGTCCGTGGATGAGTCCGCCGGTCGCATGGACCCCGTACCTACATTTCCCACACTTTGCTCAAGTATAACATAGTTGATACATATTTCTAGCCCCGATGTAACTACGGCATTTTCTATCGAATCTTATTAATTTTATTATGTAATTTCCAATTCACCAACGAATTCTGTCAAGTAAACGGGCGAGTGTGCGCCGTGTATTCGTAACGTGCTTGAAACATGGGGAGCTGAGAATTAAATGGGGCAGTTTTGATCACACACTTCGGTTATTTTATTGTAGCGATATACTTACGAGCGCGGGAGACGACTCGCAACGTTACTGTTAATCAGTATGTACTTACGTTTATGAAATTGTTGTTGTTTTGTTTCAAATTCTTAAAATTGTCACCAAAGTTACTTACAATAAGTAATTGCGTGTCGTCACCGCGCGTGCGTGATCGCCCGTTCGAACAAATTGACAGCACAACTGCATGTATGGTGGTACTAGACGGCAATGTCGGGTTGTTATTATTATTTCACTTTTATTTCTTCAATTCCTTTTGCTTTTATGTATAATTATAATAAATTCAATTGTTTTCAAGTTTTTATTTTGTTTCTTTTCTGTTTTGTTTTACGATTTATGTTGTTTTTCTTTTTTTTATTATTAGTAACTGTTTTATAACTCTCTGACTGGTTCTTGATTTTGACTTATGGTTAGAACATATCCAGATAATGAAAGGGGGCGTAAAGGTGGTAGTTTTGGTAAGGTTATTGTTTTGTTAGTCTGTAGTTGATAGTCTAGATATTATACTATAGACTTAACAGCTTCGTACAACGTTTACCAATGGCCACAAAGCCAATATATTTTCATAGAAGCACAATGAGCGACTAGCGAAATGAAGTAAAAAAAAAACAGGACAGAGTTTTTGACTCTCCGTCCAAATATACTTAGTTGCTACGGGGGTATCAAGAATACCAGTTTGCATAAAAATCACAACTCATGGAATCTTAAAATCAATATTTTTTAAATAGTACTTATACAATAGTAATTCTGAAAAAAAAAATATTTTTATTCACTAGGTATCTACATCTACATATTTTCAAGCCTACATTTTGTATTTGACTGGTAACTGGATTTTGTCCAGACTTTGACTGATAGAACCTGCTGATTAATGAGATAGGCCTTCGACTGGTTTTAATTCAAAGACAATACATAATGACGTTAGTAAGGTAATAATTTAACAGGAATTTTGTGACTACAATAATTATTGTGCAACCTAACGTCTCCGCGACTGGAGTAATTAAACAAAGTTTTAATACGAATAGGTATTCTGCCAAATTTAGTTAACTTTCAAAGCAGTTTGGATGGGAGAAGGCTTGGATAGTTAAAGAACCCAACGCTAAAATGTTATTTTTGCGAACTCTCGATGTAAATTCTTTCAACTGAATCTTTGGCCTCTAAGTGTGATCTGTCTTAAAATAGCGTCCTAACGGCCTTTAAAGTGAAGATATTTGAGAGCGTGTCATAATATAAATTTTAATTTTTTCTTCAATGCTTTATTGGCTCTGTTCAGTTTCCTATCAACGTTCCATTCCATGTGCTACTGCCACTCTATCTAAGGCTGCCACAGACACAAATATAATGGTACTACTTTACTATAGCTTAGAGAGACCTCTGTTGAACACTCAAAGAAATTAAAATGGTATTGGTTTCACTACGGCTAAAAGTAGTTCATGTCATAAGTAGAAGATGGCGCTTTCATCTTTGAGACTGAGAGGTTTGTCGTGGTGCGTGCACCATTTCTTTACGGAGCGAACTTACTTTCTGACAGGCATTATGTAAGACCGGGCAAACATTCGGATTGGATTGTTGAGTGCTTAGCATTTGGGCTACTGCGACTACCGCTGGATAGCAATTGGTAGAAAACAATCAAAACAATACATTTTATGATAGATTTTACTGCGTTCTGTAGGTACTAAGTTTAACTTCTATTTGTAGTTGTAATAAATGTTTTTGAGCCGTATAGACAATACACTGCCTATATTATTGTGTTCCTCAAAGTGCACAATGGAAAAGCTTAAAGTATGTTATAGAATTAGGTACTTACCATAATGGTAATTCAGAGCATATGCCTCAAACGCTGGAGGTGTTAGTAGGTTGTGCAGGCTAAAAGTACCATTAAAGCAAAGATATTTTCAACATGCGAATTAATTCTAATGTTTAGTGATAGTGACTATAACAGTATCGTAGAAAGAGTGATAGGACTGAGAAATTTGCAATTTTGACCTAAGGTCGGCTTAGTGACATTTAATGACTTAATTTTATCATCTTGCTATACCCGAGCCTTTTGGGTTTGACATAAGTATTTATGTGTATGTGAGGAACTTTGGTTTCTTGAATATGTCAGTAGATGGCGTTATTCAAAAGTTCTCAGGTGAGGTTCTGATACATGTCTAAGCATGGTTTTATTAAATAGATTTTGATCGTCATTGATATAATATACCTACGTACTATAAACTTTTCGTCAACTATACCAATTAGGAAGTACTATAAGCATTTACTCATATTACATAATTCTATTAAAGGTTGTTAGTCTCGTAAGATACCTATGGACTATGAATAATCTAAACTACTTACATACCTACATACATATGACACAGTTATCATACCTACATTATAATCGACTTATAGGGTTAAGATACGTAGATCTAAGTACCTTCTTTATTTATTTTATATTTATTTATTATATTTACGTTCTCTCTTACCTTACCGACATTCATAATATAATTATGTAAACAAATTATTGTGTAAACGAAAATGTATACTACCTACTCTCAATGTTATGCTGCTTTATTTGCAGTTTGCGTCAAAATTCGTCATAAAATGAAACATTTGCTAATCACAGCACTACTAACCTGCATGTGAAATTGAGGAGACAGAAGTATGCTTTTAACAGTAATCACAATATTGTGACGACACCTTGTGAGCAAGATTTTCGTTTACATTCAACAAAATGACTAACAACAACAACTTGTTGGACATTTTAACATGATGTAGACAGCCATCTGCTTATTTATTTCTGATTGTCTGATGGTCTATCATGCATTCTTTGAACAATGTACCTATTAGGTGATTTGTAACACTATTTGTTGAATTATGTTTTGCTACATTATATCCCTGTATCCTGGTACAATAATGAAAAAAATGCATCAAGATCTGTCAAGTTTATGCACCACTTTGTGATGTCAGGGTGCCATGTACCACATGTATATCTACTCCAATCTGTAATATTTTGGTTTCTTTAAAACCTTGTAATGAAACGGGCTTGGTTAGGCTACAGATTTTAGTATTGTTAAGTTACCGTCTATACCTACATTAAAACTAATCTCGAAGATATGCAATGTTTATTTTTAGGGTTAGGTACCTAACTAACCCTTACCAGTTACCAAGTAAACACAGGTAGAGGTAGTCTAGACACAGAACAAATTATATTTTTGTGTGTTGCTATTTTCGATCAAATAGAACCTTTAAGAACTTTAGCCAAGGCTATCTAGACTTCTATCCGTTCTTCTATTCACATTCAGAATCGGTACTAAATAGAGCGAGGGGGGTGTGACCACACGTTTTATGTAAATCCAATCCCCTATGTGTATGTGAGGTTGAGCCTTTGACACAGTTTACCAAATGCTGTAGTGTTTTCAAACAGCAGGAACAATATCAGTACACCGAGTTTCATAAAGAATTCACATAAAGATATTAAAGTATCTACGTAATTATCAAGACAAGCTAAATCTATTTCCAACAATTTCACCAGGTACTACTTAACTTGATGGCTCCAGTTATTTTACTGAAGAATGCCTAAACGGTAGTTTAGTAGTACGTATACTAAACTATTTGCTTAATTCAATGTGTTTTTAAGAAATGCTAAATACATCTTCTGTTAATATTTTCTAAAATCTACACAGTTGGACAAAATTGACTCTTATGGCTATGGCGTTTTGGCCACCAGATGTGCCTAATGTATCATGACAGCTATTTGTCCAATCACTGCAGCTGTCAAAATATTATCAACAAATGGTGTTACACTAGCTAATCCTATATGGATGAAACAGGATCTATCGCTACTTTAGCGCCATCTAGTAATCAGAATCGGTAGCCTAAAAAATTGAAAATCTGTAACTAAACATTACTGCCATCTATTAACAGTTTCCTACATACCAAGGGACAGGGTAAAACAAAACAAAACAACTACTTAGAAATAAAACAACACGCTTGCTCTATTTTCATGTTATATTATTTATTCAGACAACGGTACACTGTGACAATAACAAACTTAAATTAATGAATTTAATGGAGACAGATATACTACATACAATGTATTTATTTACCGGCCATTATAGACCTGTGTTCACTTGGGTAACATCTATACGAATACCGGCATGAATAAAAGATTACATCAATTTTCATAAATTGTACTTAAGATAAACACTGAATGTATCGATATTAGTGTGCCACTCGTACAATCATCGTTTACTAACTCTGTGCCTTTATAAGTAATCGTAACACCACTAAGAATATAGCGATTGTAGCGAATTATCTGCTCTGAGATTCCATAAGTATATCGTAAGATTCGAATGTTATTCGAAGAGATGGGTTACGAAACGATGATTTTACTGGGATAGTGTAGATATAGCGTGGCAACAGTCTAAACACTTACTTACAGTTATTATAATTATACGTGTTTACCTACATACAAATAAAGTTACACCATTTCAGGAACACAGAATAACATAAGTTCGAAATTATCTTAATAATAAATAACTGAATTAGAAATAACCTGTGCTCACCGCGGCCCTGACACTGTTTTGTCTATCACTAATTTACTATTTCTAGGTACATTGTATATGGAGTACCTAGGGTTCTTTTTGTAATAAACAAAACGTTGCCAGAACCCGCCGGTGTTATAGTGAAATCTAATAACAATAGCATTATCGCTGACTAACCAAGTTAACGTTTGTTTACAATATTGTATTAAATTAAAATTACATTTTTTTTGTAATTGAAAATACTTATTTCATTTGATTTTGTCATCCCAATGATTAGACAGGTGTAAACGCAGTGGATGAAACCAACTAGTTTCATTTAAGGAGACACAAAGAAGATGGAGAAGGAAGGCTTAAGTGAAAATCTATTAACAAAAATCTAACTAATAATACTACTTACAAAAGTACTGGGGTGACAAAACCTAATCTGTGATATGTACCTAGGTCGTTACCTGATACCTACAAGTAGTAAAAAGCAAGTAGACAATATATATATAGGTACCAGTATGCAGATACCTAACGACAATGATACTTAAAACTAAACAGTCGTACATTAAACACTGGAATTGTAAAAGTAAAATATTTTTGGTTACAATGGACACGCTACTAAAGTAAAGGTCAATTTGAGCCCAACAGCGGCAGTTGCGCTACATCAAATAAATATCCACAATTATAATAATCCAAAAGAGCAATCATATCAGTAGATATACAATATCGTTCTTCAAATTATATATATTTATCACAAAAAAGTTAAGATTTGTCATGCAGTATAACACAATGTAATGGTCGCCAGTAACGATTACATTAACTAAAATAAAAAAAAAATTAACATCTATTCATGTAAATTACGAACCAACCAAAACCGCCTCCGTGGGTGTATATTATATTACTACAAGTTGTTTTTACTTATCTATCACGAAAATAACACATAGGTACTTATTTATGTTATCCGAAATGTATATTTTTTCCAATACAATAAATTAATGATTAATTATAACTACAAAATCCACATTCTGATACAAAAAATATGAACCATAAGTGATTCAGTTTAAAACAAATGGCACTTGCATGTCTGCATTGTTTAATTAATGGATTTAAGTGACCGTGTAATGGTTCACAAAGAAATAGAATCAATTTGGACACCGAATAGTTAGCTATCGCTTGCCTGTCAGGGTATAACCACATCGCCCAAATATATAATTTTATGTATATTTTTTTCTATATAATAGTCATATGTATTTATCTTTTATATAATAATTTTGAATTTTTATTTTATTCTAACTTTTTATATTTAAGCACGTTCGGGTGGCGGGCAGCAGCAGTGCGGCGCTGCACTGGCATGTACCCGCGTCTCGCTGGCCCCGCCCTGCCCGGCTGCTGCCAGCCACCCCCAACCCCACTTCGCCGCATCCCCCCCAACACTTACTGTGGTCAAAAATTTGGAAGGCACTTTCTACTTTTCAAAAAATTTAAATTTTAATTTATTTTTTTGAACACATTAGCCTAACCTTACACAATAGAAAATATGCGTAGTAAAATTTACCAAAATCTACGCAATTCGTCCGAAACGTTATAGGCCCAGTATATAATTTTTAATTTTTTTTACCTAGATTAAATTTATTTCCAAAAGGACAGCCAAATAGTTTTAACATTAATCTGAATTGCAGATGTAATAATTTTTTCACAAATTTAATAATTTGGTCTTTTTTATATTCTAGTTCCAAACTTTAACCAAACCGGATATTCCAAATACCAAAATAATAATGAAGTATCAAGGCCACTTGGAGACTAATTATAAAACATGGTCACCATGTTTTGCGACGAGTCCTCGCCGGCGCGCAGTCGCACGCGCAGCGCACACGCTGTGCGCGCCTCCTACGCGCCAGCCTCTCCCCACAACGCGACAAATGAATACGTGAACGCCAACAATTTCCGCCAACAATACCTAAATCGTGGATACCCCTGCGGCAAGAAGGTAACACTAGTAATTTTTAATCCAAACTATGAAACGAAATTATGCGTCCAGGAAGTAGTTGTTGATAAAACAAATTTGTACATACACACCTTAAAGTCCTAGCGACGGCGACACACACGGGGCGAGGACGCGTGCGCACCTCCTCCCCGCGGGCTAGAGCGTCGAATAACACTGGATCTCGCTACGAGTAGTTACATAGCTAATATAAGCAAATTGAAATGTATAATACTAATCATGCATAGGTGGTATAGCAGACAGATGAATGATGAACATTCAGTAGGTACTTGGCGATTTTAGTGCACCTAAACCTAAGGCGACGGGCCACGCTCCTCCAAGTTAACGCTTATATAGGAGTCTCACGAGGTTTCGGATCAAAGGATATATTGGGAAGAGAAAATCTGTATTACATTTTAATAAGTGATTCTGTCATCACGTTTGAAGATCGTTGCAACCCTAGGTCATACTAGCTCTTTGCTAGTAAACCATAAAGTCAGTCAAGTCATGAGATCATTGTAAGAAAGTTTAACTGTGAGCCTAAACTTGTTCCCGAAAGCTTCATTAAATAAAATAATCTTGTATTTATCCGTAGTTCTTAATTAAATTACACTATTTTATTAATAAGCTTTACAATCTCTTAGTGTAATAAAATTATTACTTAATTATTATAAGAAACCTGGGTCATTGAGAGAATGTGACATCTTGTACTTTTGTAGAGTGGCAACACATGTATTGACGTGAATTAAGTTTGTGTACAAAGAGTACAATGTTGTATTTTGTTTTAAATTATTTGTTCTGTCTTTTCAGCGTACAATCTCCTTGTCGTGGTAACATCAAACTTTAATTCCGTCACTTACGTGTATCATAAACAATTAAATTATAAATAACGAGCCTTGAACATTTAACAGAAAATAATATAATAACTAAAACATCGTAGTATTAAATATAACCACGTTTATAGGCGTTTTGAACGCCTGCGCAACAATTCAAAAGTTGAATTGATTCATAAGTATTTTAGAAAAAGAACACTTGGTTCTAAAATGTTGCCACACTAGAAAAGTACAGTTGGAATCAAAATATTGTTTGATTCTGATGGTAGGTGTGCCTTGGGCCAGGGGTGTGTCTGTTAACAGTTAGAAGCGGGCACCGTCGCGTACACCTAACATAGCCTAACATTTGGAACAATCACTACTGACTAACGATACGAGTACATCTAAATTACATTTGGCGATCACTAATTCTACACGTATGTGAATCGCTGCACGAACAGTGAACAATGAGCTGAGAAGCGGGAGCCCCGCAAGCGACAACACACACTATCCACTATCACGGTTACTAGAGAAATTGACATCGACCTGACATGAAACGAGAGGACAGCTACACTTTAAAGAATTAAATCTAACGATAATCCATCATTTCATCATTACTTAAATATGTTTGCTGAATCATAATGAATAGGTATACCGAACAGTCTTTTGAATCGGGCCGAATAAATATACATATATTATATAATGTATACATACGTATATATAATATATTTTTTTTAATTTTGATAATCCCTACGTTCACAGATGGATCTAGATTGTAATGTATTAGTTTAAGCTTACACGTATCTCGAAGTTCTACTTATGATAAGATAATAATAGTGTGTGGAAATCGGGCGGCGTCGGCGCACTGAGTGGCCGACCACGCACCCGTGCCCATCAAACAATATTAAAGAAAACTTAAAATATATCAATGGAACACAATATAAATCCATAATGTTACAAAAGTTAACTAATAACAAAGCATTGTATTGCACAGCGAGTCCACAATAATTTATTAAATATGATCATAAATTAATGCCGATTTGAAATATTGATTAAAACAACTTAACCCGTCTCGGGCCCGTCACGTGATCGTCTCTAAACTCCGAGTGGTAAACAGCTCCAGTTCGTCCTTGGAATGTGCAACGGGCGCAACGAACCTCAATGTGTCTGCCTACACCGACACACACTTCACACGATTATATTACTCTCTGCTTGCAATCCCCACATCCGAGGATTGCAACATTTGGCATCTCGCGGCTGGTCGCTTCGATACGCCTGACGGTAGCGAGTAGCGAGTACTATGCGACAGCGCAGTGTCGTGTCTCTTTATACCGCCAATATTGTTTGCAACTTCACCGCAGTTTTAATTGTCCCGCATAAAACATAAAACACTTGTCAACAAAAATACATTACAGATTCACACAAATTCTTTGGGTTGCAAGGAAAGATCTTATTAGATCTGTTTTCACGAGGTTTCAGAAAGTTTCATGAATTTAAATAAATCATCTCATTTACACAGTCAGCACCATAACACGTGCTTTCAAGCTCTAGTGTAAATGCAATAAATTGAAACATACCGCTGTTGATGATGCTGACTGTACTGCGGTGATAAAAATTAATGACGTCGACTGTTATATCGGCTTACACTTTGAAAGAGAGACAATGTATCGGGCGTGGGGTCCATAGAGCATAGAGTAGCACTACCCGGTCGGGTGAGAGAGCTCTGTCGGTGGTGGGAACCCCGCGTCGTTACGGTTTAATAATAGGTGGAGCTGTTTCCGTTCGGAACGAAGTACTTGTACGCGGGCATCGGGATCGGCGGCGGTGGCAGGCCCATAGGCGGCATCACCGGCACCATGCCCGCGGCCTCGCTTCAGATGTCCGCGCGCCCGTCTACCGCATCCAGCTCGGAGGGCGACGAGCCTTGGCCAGAGCTCTTCCTGGCATGACCTTGTCCATTCTTTGGGGGACCCATCAGCGTAATATCAGAAGCAGTATCGCGGTCGCTGTAGCGGCTCTCAGTCGGTGAGGCGAAGGGGCGGAATGGATCTGGATGCTTGGCGGGCTCCAGCGCGTGGCCAGGTGGCGGGGGCGAGCACAGGGGAGACTCTAGCCCGGTGGAGAGCGGTGACGTGAGCTGCGGCGACGACTGCATGGGCGGGCCCATGTGTGGCGGGTGGTCGGGCGGGCGCTGGCCAGCGACCATGTTGCACATCTGCCGGCGCAGCCCGTGCGCCACGGCGGCCACGGCAGCGGCGGCGGCGGCGTTGGGAGACATGCGGCCCTCGCGGCCGTTGCCACATCCGATGTAAGCATTTGGAACGGCCACACCGTCCTGAAACACGCACACCGCCACATACAATGCTTGCTCGACACTCTACAAGATCGCAAGTCGATGTTTACATCAGTCTCGTGAACAAACGTCTATAACTTATGGAATCAAATGTGAGCATGGCAACCGCATAGCCATTTATGATAATTGACGATCGCAATGGCATTTTCGCATAGCTGAGGAGACATGGGGCCAAATGTATAATAAGAATAACATTATACTAAGTTTGTGCAAAATTGTTAGTGCTTCTTAGTCGCAATCTTACGTCAAAGGTCACGTATATATGGCATTGTTATGATAATAATATAACAGTGGGATGCACCATTCTGTGGGTGACGTAAAACAGCGAGGAAAGAATACCGAGAGCAGCCAGCGTGGTGTCGGGCTGCGCAACATGTGTGATACTGACCGGTGCGATGGCGGGGTAGCCCGGCAGTTCGATCTCTTTAAGGTTTGTGGCCTGCGGGGCGCAGGGCGCGTGGGTGTCTCTGAACACTACCGCGCGGATTACTCCTCGAATGTGCTCGTCGGGCCATACGCCCAGTAAGATCCTTTGCGGTCGTCCCCTTCCCTTTGGTCTTAAATCTGTAAAGTCGCATAATAGTAAAACGTGAACACGTAAGGTATTTGGCGTTCTGTTGTAATAGCTTATTCGAAACATTCATAAATAACAGCGAGGAATTGAATATAAAGAGCTAGATAGTTTATAAGGAAGATGCATATTTCGAACAAGCTGTACGGGGATTGGGTGTAAAAAAATTAAGTAGTTACATAAAGGGAGTATCGACTGTGCGAGGCTTTCATGGCGAGGTGGCTCGCATCGTCGACGTAAATGCTTAGGTCATTGCGGTACATAAAGCTCAGTCAGAATGGCTCGACAAACACATTGTATGCTTCAAATATCTGCCACGAAGCTGTTAACACGACACAAGAAAACTACGCCAAATTAAAATAAGGTATCGGCACATCGAACATGAAATCTCACAGCCGCGGGGAATTAGCCACAGCGACAGCGTGAGCGACGAGTGCGACAGGCGGCAGAAACAAATGTCTGTTAGTGTACTGAGCGAGCCGCCCGCCGCTGTCGCTGCCGCTGCAGCGAATTCCCCGTGGCCAGGTAGTTAATGAAGTATACATCTAACTTACTTGCAATGGTGAGCTCTTTAGCCGCAGAGTAAAAAGAAAAAACAACATTATTACTTCTACAACTCGGCGTAAAGAGGATCAATATTACCTACTGAAACTTAACTACGTGAGGAGAATGAGGGGAACGGGATAAGACTGAGTTCAGATGACGAAAATTAGGGATGGGCTCTGACAGAAAACCGAAGCGAGTTTTTTACAAATGCCAATCGAGTGATTATGCGCGTGGGCACGCGAGGATGCACGGTAACAGTGTACATGTAAAAATCGTTAGCGCGCGCTGGCAAAAAGAAATGTATTTATACGTCATTGGCGCGCGATAACGCTTTTTTAATTAGACGTTTTTGTGAGAAGAAACCAATGGGTAAGACTGCACACTGACCGGTAAAGCGCATTGACGCTCGTCATCTGAACTCCGGAACGTACCACTTAACTCGATACAAAGTAACTGTCACCGGCATTGAGTATAATGTACAATACCTAGGTAATGTACAACATACTGGGGACATTTAGATAATGTATGAAATAATACGAATATGTTTTTCCATTAGGTACATACGGAATTTGGTAAGTAAGTATGTAATTTATTCCTAGGCATTGTACAGAATAGCTGTCGGTCCATCAGCAATGTGTAAAATTAGTTGGTTTTGCCTTTTATTTATTACGTTTTACGGGGGTTGTCAATATACCCACGTAAATACGAATAATTATACGAAGATGGGAAAGTATGCGGGGAGATAGTAAACAGATTCATATATTTTACTATTAACAGCAAGAAAGCTTACAGAGTCTGATGACAAGCGGTTACCATCAGACGGTACCAGTTTATTTATTCTGGTTTAAAAGCATAAAATCATAGTATATCTACAATTAATATACAGCATATTTAAGTGATTTAACTATAGCTCTATTTATTTCATTCCTAAGAACGTTAAGGGTTGTAGCTAGACATTGAGATACCCTTATTTCACTAAAAAACCCGAGATTATTTACTTTGCCCGATAACATCTGTAACTATGAATGGAAAATAACTTTTCGGAAAAGCTGGACAACTTTGTTGTCGCATGCGAATAGTAAGTATTATTTCAGTATTGTAATATTATAATTACGTTGGAACGTTATTCTATGTGTTTAAAATACGTTTTCTTGTGTCGTTCTCTAGATGAAGCCCAAACCAGAAATCAATTATCAAGTTGCCTACCATATATAAGAAATAATTGATCATCTCCATGTATCATAGACATACTGTGACATGTAATCAGAGCGCTCGCATAGCAGATAACTTCGCAACGCTAAATATATTCGCACACACCTTATATTTATACACATACACAAACATTTTACATTTTATGCTGATTAGTTCCTATTGCACGGTGTTTTTGTTTAGTGGCTTTCACAGAATGCCGTGACACAGGTTACTTGCATCCTTCCATTTCAAATTAGGACTTATAGACATTGACAGACAGTATCGGTTTTGTTACATTGCAGACGGAAGATTCGCTAATCCACCGTCATTGGTTGTATTCTATTTTTAAAAGTTAAATTAAATAAAATTATTGAGTTCAATGAATAATTAAAGTAAAATACAATATTATGGTTGAAACCTAATTTAATGTTTGCAATATTTGCGTCAGTGGTCGTTGCTTTCAATACGTCAACACGATAAATCAAGTACAGTTTTTACGTTCCCCTTCATAACTACTTAAGACTCGAACTGTCAAACATAATCGATGTTTAATAATAAAAAAAATATAATAAAGTAACCTGTGACAACATTCATGACAAGCGGAGACGGGGCGCTATTATAAAATTGCGCACATCTGCACTTGTCGTTAAGCCGGGATAAGACTGGCGGACGCGGCTTGCAGTGTAAAAAAAATATCTTGCGACGGAAAATTCTAATTAATTTAATGGTCAACATTATAGAGAATGGGATTTATGATAAACAATGTCGACTACAAGGGGCTTTCGCCAGTAATCCGAGCTTTGAAATAGAACAATGGTTGGACATACCTGCACCACCATCAGCGCTGGGTCCCAGCATGTTGTGGACCCGGTTGGCGTATAGCACGAAGGTGGGGTAGGGGATATCGTATTTGCGGGCCGCCTGCGAGAGTGAGAGCCCTTCCTTCAGCACGGAGAAGATGGCTTCGGCCATGGTCTCTGGCCGCCAGGACTTGAGTGGGCCACGTTCGCGGAACCGCAGGTTGTGGACCAGTGTCTGCGTGTTCCAGCACTTCTGCCACATCGACTGGAGTTGATATTGGTAGCTATCTGTCGAAGTGATATATTGACGTGTTAATATATATTCTTTTGAGACTGTGTGGTGGTCATGTACCTAGATTATTGTTTTATTAATCATAAAGGAGTAGTACAATTAATATTAAATGAAGAATTCTACATCCTGCGAGTTTGTCTTATAAAAATCAAGTTCTATTTACGATTTCAAAAATATTATATCATGAATTAAAAACCTAGATAGGTAGATAATAAATTACCTATATTATTATTGTGTATGTAAATAAATGCATTTCGTATTTCTTGTATCAATTTAATAATATTCTATAGTAAAATTAATATCAATTTTCGTATTTAATAACAAAGCAAAGCAAACAAAAACCTAAGCAATCAATATCAAACACCAATTTTATATGCAAGGTGTCATTAATGTATATTGAAATGTTTAATATTTAATTATACATTTTGAACCTTAAGACACCTGCTTATGCTTCAACTTAGTAACAATAATTAACACCTCAGGTCGTTGCTTATTGCATTTATACATTTTATTAGCAAAATCCACTCCAAAAGTATTTTTTTACCAAACAAGAATTACATAATAGTTAAAAAAGTAAATTACAGATTCTGTAACTAACAAATGTCATATTAAAAATGGATGTCCCATCGTTAATATTTGTATAATTAATATACATCTGGATATTACAATCCTTTTAAGGTTGTAACTGTAATAACAAGTACAAAATATAAGTACAAAAACAGTAATAGTAATTATAATTACATAATTAGATACGTCCTACATACTGACCTCACAATAAAGGAACCTGTTTCTAAGAGAAAAAAATAAAATAAAAAATTAGCGGGAAAAATAAAACTGCACGGAATTTTGTGATATCGATCTTATACATGTCAAAATAAAGTACAGTCTTCGTTGATAGTTCGTCATAATGGCATTACCTTGACCTAAAATTAAATTTTAATATAAATGTAAAAATTACATCGTTGAGCATTTTTTTTAAACAGAGAACACAGTCTATTTCTCTCTTTACTTTATACAATTACTTCGTTTCAAATTATTTGTTACCTACCTATATAGTTCGTTGACACTGGCTGTACCTAAGGGCTACTGTACACGCTGCGTCATTTGAAGGATGCCTGCATTCATCGAATGACGCAGGCTTTCGCATAAACTGCGGTTGACGCGATGTGGACAGAGTTTTGATTCTTTCTACACAAGATGCAAGCATTCGTCTTGCATTCGTCATTTGTAGTGCAGTGACGTGGACGGTAGCCCTAAGTGTCTTAAAGTTGAAAGAGTTTTATGTTTGTATAATGATATTTACTTATTCACCACTAAATAATCTATTATTAAAGGTTATCATTAATATTTTCTATTCCATATTCTACTCATATTTACAAGACAAGAAATAATTTGTTTGTCAAAACTTAACGTAAACTAAAATAAAGGCACTTCGTGTACAAAAACAAGAAAAAAATATCTAGACACTAGAGACAGTGCGGTCCTAACGTCCATTTTCTTTAATATTTTTATTGAAGGCACAGATAACTGTTCATGTTCAAATAAAATAAATTTTAATTCACTGAAAGTAAAGTACCCAAATCGGATTTTTGAATCGTATTGAAAAACAATAAAATACAATGGACATAACATATTGTATAAAATACAATATACATAACATATTATATAAAATACAATATACCGACTACAAAATATTCAGATTCCCTTTGAAAATACTAGTGTCTGCATGTGTGTGTAGCATAAAGAACTACATTTATTTTTATGTCTGCTTTCACGTGCGTAATAAATTTTAAAAGAATTTTTCGATACACTGGGCGAATAAAATATGGCAACACTCCACGCTAAACCACGTTCACGTATCAATTTTAGTTTTTTCTCAAAATAGTACACAACGCAATTTAACGAAAAAACTAGGCATCGTACTGAATAAATCACAACTAAATATAATTATTATACTAACTGGATACCGAGCGTAGTTTTTATTATTGCAAAATAAATAAAAACCAACAATAATTACGAAACGATAAATAATTAGCTTGAAACAATAAAAATCGTGAAACCGTTTAGATTTCACTTGCCAATTAGTTTGGACTGAGTAGTAGAAATAAATGTAACATTCGGAATTCTTCTTCGTTAATAATTGCTGTCTGAAGTCATGTTTGAGAACTTCATTTTAACACGGCTCATAAACAATAGTCTGTCTGTGGAACAATGGTATCCAGTACTAACGTATTAATAATTCTATGTTGTATGTCATAAAGAGGCACTTTATAATATCCTTCTTGAAGGCAATCAATCAAAAGACGTTTGCCATGTATTGAACAGTGACATATAGGTACAATTTATACATGAACCTATAAATTGTAGTCTAAAAACATAGTAGAGCGATGCCCAGACGCAGCGCAGGTGGGGTTGTGTGTAACAATGCAAGAAAAAGTGAGAATGCGAGCGTGCGTTTAATTTATATTTAGCGATAAAACATAATTGTGTATTTCAATGAAAAATATTTATGCGGTAAAAACATTCTTATGTTTCCTGGCAGGAGTGGCATGCCGTAATTATAAAAATACAAATGTTGCCAACTTACGACCGTCAATTTGACCAGGACGTTTCGCCGGCGGCACTTAGCGCACTCAAAGTTATTATATTGGAACAAAAACGTGGATAAATCAGTACGAAACCATTTACGTTTTGTGGAAATTACGTTTTTTATTACCATTTAATATTTATAGGAATATGAGGATATTAATAAATACTTTTAATTAACCGTTATTAATTGTACTTTAATCGGGTCTTTTACCGAGTTGTCGTTTTTGTAAGGCTCAGTTCCGAGACATTGCGCTCATTAATAGGGTAAGTTATCTAAATCATTATTTAATTTAAAATTACACAAACTCCATTTTTGTAGAAAGCATTTAGTTTTTAGGCGTTTATTTAATTAACGTGATATTTCCGTTAAATAAGGTGTCGTTGTAACTAAGTTTAGTTGTGGTGCCGTGGAAAAACGCGAAGGTAAACCGGTTTTACATTCCAACTATAATATGGGTAGTTTCGTTAAGAAAAACTGTTATTTACATCAAATAACTATGAAGATATGGGGAGCGATAATAAACTTAATGTTTTGAAGAGATTAAGACGTCAACGGCAGTGTAGTTTAAATCCGAGTTATCCAGTACATTTAGTAAGTGACATATTGTGTATTTCGGACTTACATACATCATAATCCGACCACTCAACTAGTACTTAAAACTGTATACGAAAACAAAGATTTTAATACATATTCAAAAATTGTCCCAAAACCCTGAAACGGTGACAACACATCGATTTAACTCGTCGAGTACCGTCATTATAGACACAATTATAGAACAATAGGTTGCGGTCACCGGTGACCGCTTGGTGTTTGACAGTTTAACGGTATTATATTATGCACGTGCAGTAACGGGTTGTAGGAACTAATACATTTTCTATCGAATGTACATACATATTGACATGTACATAGAGTGAGTGTTTCTGTGCATGTACATAAGCCAGAACACGTGTTCAATAGTTTGAGAGCAGGATTACGCATTCTATCAAACTGGATCGCTCTTGCGAACAACTATAGTCGTGTCGAAACCTAAAATATTGTTTAAATTCTCAAAATAATGTAGGTGTGTATATTTTTTATATTCTTCCTGTAGGTGTTTTCAGAGATGATCTACAACCACCATAAGCACGAGTCTGCGTACGGCGAGCACGAGTAACTCACCGCCCGAACAGAACCAGACCCGAGCGTAAAGCGCGCCAGACCACCACAGATGGGGCCCAGTTGGGCTAATACTGACACGGATCCTCAGAGGACTTAACGGGTTGTCAGGGCTTCGGCTTGAAGAGCAGAAGTAGCAACGGGATGGTTTAAGTCAGTAGGTCTGACACTGCCTCTCGTCTCATCCAATGCGGGAGAAGTCATTGGACCCCCCCAAAAGAGACAGTTCTTAGAGGACGCGAGGCTTTCAATTCAACAGAGATCGGTGCAGTGCTGTGAAAATATATCATTTTATCTTCTAATCGGGATCGTTTAGTTACAGAAACGGTAGGACATAGCTGAACTTATTTTAATTATTTCAGACCTATATGATGCATACCTATAGACCACAATAAAGACGATTTGATTTTATTTGATTTGACACTTACGAATATATAGAAACTGTATATATAAGTAATTATTATTCTAAGGCACCTAACGAGTATTTATTATTAGTTATGTGTTTAACTCGTCGAGTACCGTCATTATAGACACAATTATAGAACAATAGGTTGCGGTCACCGGTGACCGCTTGGTGTTTGACAGTTTAATAAACTTTACTTTGTCAATGTGCAGATTAATTTTACTTCGATTTAAGACGGGGTTGTGTGCTTTTTCATTATTTATTTTTTACGTGCCCATTTGCTAGCAAATACAGCTTTGTATAAAATTACTAGCGCGCAGATATGAGTGATTGATGACTGAAAATTGAGGCTTATTAAATATATTAACTTGTTCTCGATTACGGTCTTATTTTTAATGAAAAATTATGCATTCACTGTTGACGTACCAATTAAGGGACCAAGGTAAATGTCAAAATGTCTTAATTATTCATTTCATGTTTAATATTCTGACGTACAGGTGATGGTTGTGTCTTTTTAATAATTTTATAAATATTTATTTTTCTATGCACCGCTAAAAAGTTCATAACATCTTTTTTTTCATTTTTAATCTATATTTTTATTCTACTTGTTTCAAAGGACGCAATACGAGTTATAGTCTTATAGTCGTAGTTATGTATACATTTTATATCTATATCACAAAATGATATGTTTATATATATATGTATATTTTTATTTCATATCTATTTTTTTGAAAAAAGAATACACCTACTTAATAACATCACAATAAAAAGATTTTTGATTATTTACCTAATGTTTTGTTTATTAATTCACAAGTAAATTGTACTAGTTGACGGGCCAATATCGCACC